TTTTGCTTCAACCTTTTTCTTATAAGAAATTGTACCTGTATTGATAACAATCAGGTCATACCTTCGGTCAATTGAGTATTACCTAATGGCATATCAGTGAAGTTGATATACCCTGGTGGTTCTCGAAGGTTCTATTCTCTGCTGCAGCTAAATAAAACTTCTGTTTTTTTCTTCACACACATACAATGAACATATGGGCCAGTTACATTCAGAAAGTCCTTAACAAATGACCACAAGCGGCCGAGCAATAAAAATACCTGGACATTGTTAGTTCAGTCTGGGATTCGAATCCTGGCCAACGGGCTGGCTGCATGGCCGTTTTTGAGGTTTTTCCCATGTGCAACGTACATGCGAGCCAGTTTCTCTGAAAACATCTTCCATGAAGCATCCCTCCTTTTCTGTATAGTGCCTAATGGCAAATCACATAATAAATAAATAATAATAAATATAGTCCTTGAAGATGTTATTTTCCCATATAGGCAAACAGCAGTAGCATAATTTTGCGTATTCATACAATCTAATTCATTTGTACTACGTAATTTTATCTGTATTATCTTATTCCCTATTTTACCAAGAGAATGAATTACTTTTCTGCATAAGCCTTTTTTTAAAATTAAGAATGAAATTATCATCGTCATAAAGTAATAATGAGAAATCCTATTTTAATAAAATTTGTAATTTCAGTATTCCTCACATTCTTGTGCTTAATGAAACTGTGAGCTAAATTCTTGTGAAGTGACATGCATAATAGCATCTATATTTTAACAAGATAATTATCTGTTTATGAATATCCCAATCTTTATACACGTATAAAAAATTTTTTCAGAATATTTGGATTACGACCATGGCACAATGGGCTATCTGCCGAAGAGAGAAAGGGCTTCCTGGAGGACTTTTTAAGAAAAATTGGTTGATACTCATGTTACACATGACGCCACAGACAGCCAGCTTAGTTTAATGAAATGTGAACCAAACCTAGCTATCAGTGTTCATGGATTTCATAACTGGACTTCTGGTGGGTATATGTAAATAAGAAAACAAAGTTAATAAATCCACTTGACATTTTATGATATTAGCATTAATTTCAGCAATTTTTCAGTGTCATCAAAATGTATTCCCGCCTTTTTATTGTAATTTTTTTATTTAATATTGCTGTTTGAATCATGCAAAATACAATGCAATGCATTAAAATATAATCAATAAAATCCCTTTTTTTATAGGAAAGGAGCATATATATATATATATTTATTTAAACAAATTTAAATTTTAACAAACATGTATATACGTAAAAAGCAAATTTAAAGTTAAAATTTAAAAATGTGCAAACATATAAAAGATTTAATTTTCGAACTAATCTACATATCATTTAATTCAGACAGCATAAGTAAATCAAGTGCAAACCAAACCATGAAAATAAATTCACCAATTTAGCAAATTAAAATAATCTAATTTTTTTTTTTTTTTTTTTTTTTTAATGCATAAGTGAATGAATGTTGGGCAGGCAGGAGACAGACTTATCAAGGGGAAGTTGCCTTCAAACCTAACTCTCCAATCATTCAATTCGTGTTTCGTCATTCATGTAGGCAAGGGTAAAAGTCAAAACCAAAAGCAAAGAGTGAAGAATGTCCAAAAAGAAATACCAATAAAGTGGTACCTTTAGAAATTAGCAATTAAAAATTAAAGTTCTAAAAGGAAAATACCAATGAAGTTTTTTGAGAAATAAGCAATGTAAAATCAAGTATTAAATTAAACTTTAAAAAAAATTAATTTAGAAACCAATGCATTTTAGAAACCTTTGTCTACAGAAACCTCCTCGAAACGAATATGCATATCAATAAAAAGGGAACTAGACATAATTTATATAAACCAATAAGAAACAAAAAGAACTAATTCATAATTTAAAAAATATATATCCTTAAAATATAATTCATATCTAGAAAATAATCCACATAAAAAATATTAAAAAAATACTTAAAGCAAGTAAATAGTAAGTTTTAATTCAAACTTACCTACTATATTAGCCTTGGGGTCTGCAAAAGTATTTCCAAAGTGATGTAAGTGTGTTCTTCAAATTATATAGATGGCGCTTATGTAAGTAAAGTTGAGTGCCAAGCTGCTATCTTTTTTTTATTAAATTTTTTTTTTTGCAAACTTTAATATTAAAATATTTAAATATAAAATCTAGAAAAATTAAATTAAATTAAATATCCTAAAAGTATGTAATTCAAGTTTTATTTTGAACTGATCAACTATTATGGTAGGGAGTTAAGTAGCTGAGCCAATTAAGAGATGTAAGTTTGCTTTGCAAATATCATAAAAAGAGTACTAATTGAAGTAAAGTAGAGTTAAGTGGTTATTATGAATTAATAAATGTAAACTGTTTGTAATGTGAAATGTGTGTTCTGTTGCAAAATTGTGTAAATATTCCAAATAATAACGTTAAGTGAAAAATTTTTTGTGAAAATTGCAAATAATTAAAAAGTAATTAAGTAAAACTGAAATGTTTTACATTTTTTTTAAAAAAAAGTTTTAAAGTAAAATTTAAAAAGTCTTAAAATGTCTAAAAAATTCTTAAAAAAATTTCCCCCCAATTTATTTTTTTTGAAGTAAAAATTTTTTGAAATGAATTCTTTAAAAAACCTCTGAAAAATTCCCAGAAATTTCCCAAAAATTCCTTAAAAAAGTTAATTAAAAGTTATATTTAATGAAAGAAAATATTGAAAGTTTAATGAACTTGATTTCAACTGGTATATCAAAACTTAACTAAATACTGGCTAATGTATGGAAAATTAGAAGAACACTCAATTCGAGCTATAATTGAGACTTTTGAAAAGAGTTGGCCCTTTATTAGTAAAAGGAAAGAATCCAGTATTGATTAAATATGCATATTTACAAATTTATTTACAGTAAAAATTTACAAGATAATTCCTTTACTCTTCTATATCCTCCATTACCCTCCAGCTAAGGTTTAAGGTAATGTTATCATACCAAAAAGAGCCAAAAAATTATAAAGTAAAGTTAATGCCTGCCTTTTTAATACATAAATTAATAAATTTTGGTGATACTTGGTTATCAACTTGAACATTAATTAGCTTTATTATTTCTTCCTTAAAATCTTCTATTTCAGTACATATATTTTTTATTCTGATTATTTAGCTATGAAACGTGTTTTCTATTACTTTTCTAGAGATATTACAGTTCCAATTAATTAGCTTAATAATATGAAAATGGAAATTCTTTTTTTTATCATATAATTTAATTTTGCTGTGTTTAATAATTAGCAAGTCTAGGTATTCAATAGTATCTTGATTCGTATTCGTTTTATTCAGCATTTGAGTCCTCATACAAGAAATTGTCCTCTGTACCATCCAGTGCATTACTAATGCCACACTTCTTAAGTGATTTAACCATTTTCTGTGTTCTCACAGCATGTCATGAAACTTTGACCCATTCACAAATGATGTATTCGACGCAGTATCAGCATATAAGACGGACTCCGTTTTTCAGAACTATTTTCACAGGAAAAAGGTGCGTCTTATATGGCAACAAATATGGTACTTAGCTATGAAATCTCACCATCATATGTTTTCTTAGTTGAGGGAGAAGAGTTACAGAAAAGTGAAAAAAATTCCTTTGTATTATTCCCTAGTCACTTATCTGAAAATCAACAAAGGTGACCCCCAAAGGCAACCGAAAGGAAAAGGTTTCAAAATAGCAGTCGTTTCCCTTTACAATGGCAGCTAAAAGGTGGCAGAAATGCATTTGGATTGCCCATCTTTTTAAGTGTAAACCTTTCTAAGCTTCCCATCTTTTAAAGACTAAAATATTCTCAGAAAAAAATTATTCACTCAAATGTGAAAAAATAAAGATATGGCCTTTTTTTATTTTGTTATTAACCATTCAGGACTATGATCACATATATGTGATCATGCGGTTTCTCCCTTCATGGCTCATGGTATCGTGTATGAGCCAGCCTTTCCAAGTATTGAGGCCCATCATCACACTGATGTAATTTAAAATCAAAATATTTTACTCATGTTTTAAATGACATCAGATGGTGTTTGAGGTCCATCATATTTTTGAATAATGTTCCGCAGAGTGTCGATCTTCGGTATATGCCTTCAGTTCTCAGAATATTTTGTTTTTTTTTTGTATTTTTGTTAGATTAGGGGAATTTGAACATATAAACAACTGCACACATTCAAATCTTTCTAGAGTACAGCTGCTAATACAACTTTATACATGTAAATAGTTAGTTCATTTTGTTATATGTATGAAAATTGTTCTAACATACCATGTAGTTTTACTAGTAATTTGTTAAAATTTTTAAAGTGTCCATTCCCCCCCCCCTCCCACACACATACACATTGTATTAAGAGATGACTTTTTTTAATAAAATGAAACTAATTTCTTAAATTTACAATTATTTTTTTTTAAATATGACGAAAATTTTATTACAGTATATTCAGATATTATCAATGATAATAAACTGTAAATTTCAGCAATGATTTTAAATGAAATTAAGCTTAACAGGGAAAAATGCCTGGCCCTGTGTGCACATATACTTTTATAAAGCATGGAACTTGGAGAACACTTCTTTCTCTTTTCCCCCCGTCTTGAATAGGTTAAATTTTATATAATTCGAATTTGTACAATTTTAAACAATCAAATAAACTTCTTTTTAAAATACAAATAGTATTTTAACTAAAATCAGGATAATAAAATTAAATTTATATAGCAGCAGTAACATTAAAACTCTTCAGCTAAAACCTGAAAGTTACATTCTTAAACTAAAATCTTGATTACACATGTTTCTCATTTATGTGAATTTTTTAATGGTCTCTTGAAAGACATACAAATGGTGTTTTACTGTTTTCAGATAGAGAGTTTTACTGTTTTCAGTTAATTTTCATAGACAATGAATATTATAAAATCTTTGCCTATAAAAATTAACTGATAAATAATCTAAATTAATTAAGAAAATCATATATTATATTTACCTGTAGTTGAAAGTTTTCACCTTCTCTCTGTTTTAGCTGTGATTGGAGATTTTCAAGCAAAGAAGAGCCACTTCCTAATCGTAATGATTCATACACAGACAATCTGTACATATTCACAGGAGTGTGCATTCCTTGATCATGGACTTCATCCTATTCACATTTAATGAAATAAGATTAATATAAATTCAATACACTACTCTACATTTTTCAGAGTAATATAAGACAGGCAGGGAGCAAAATTATTCAAACTAAGCTGTTTTTTTAATTTCTCACTTCATTATTCCATTTTAAATGAAAATATGTAAAATTACTAGTTGGTACGATAAGAACAAGCAAATTTTTGACTTTTTCAAATACTTTTTTTTTTTCCTCCTATCTGTAACCAGTGATGTTTTCATAATTATTGCATTTATATTCATGTTAGCAAAACAATAACTCATTTATTCAGTTTCCTAAAAAACAAACACTGTTTCATTAAAAAAAAATATCTGTGTTTTAGATATGCTTTGAAAAATACACATTTGTCTGTGTAATGAATCTGATGTAGCTTATTTTCCATTAGCCACTTAGAAAAAAAACATCTTTTCTCTAGTTATCAGGGAACTGTGATCTACATTTTGCTTGATGCTATTTCTCTCTTCCCATGTTGTAAAAGTCATCCATCAGTTAGAACAATACTCTCTTCCAACATTTTAAAAATCCACAGCCTTTTGTGTTCAAAAGAGTTTTAGATATACAGACATTTATTTTTTAGTTGTGCAGACTGAAAGAACTGTGAAATAGCAATTTCAATATCTTTTGATTTTACATCCCCTTTTATACTTCCTTGACACATCTGCCATTTATGTTCTTCATCACATTTAGTCCTTTGCTTAAGTAAATTGCACAGTGCAATTTAGGGAAATTTTAGGGAGCTCAAATGCAGTTTCTCTTTGGCTGCACTTAATGAGAGCATCATCACTTTTTTAAAATTTATCCTTCTCTTTCAGTCTTAAAAGACATTTTCAATACGTTAAAATTATGCACATAGCAAATTAAGAAATACTTCCTCCAGTAATTTTACATTCTTGTTCCACATCAGCAGAAAGACTGCATTTTCTCTCTCAAGTGATGTGAGCTCCCACTTCATGATAACAGGCTACAGGTATGACCAATGCTTTCTCTTCTCCCTTTTTATTCAAAATCAATTAATAAGCATTTAAGATAACTTTCTTCTTAACTTTAATAAGCATTTAAGTTAAGCATTTAAGAAAGCTAAAGAGGTTTTTGAGAACTTCTAGGGTGTAATTTTCTTTACTTGGATAAACTAAAAACAGTGTTGATAGAAACAGGATATTCTGGAAGGTGGTATTGGTATAAATAGGTCATTCATGAATCAATCTATTGGCAACCTCAGTTTTATAAGTGCAAAAGATGAATTTAATAAAAAGCAATTATTCTACTTATTCTAATACATTTGTTTTGATTCCTGTAATAAATGACTATTTTTATTTACCAATGAGTTTAATAAGCAGCAGCTACTGTACCATCACCACTGAAAGAACAAGGTCCCTCTTCTGCTGCAAGTGATGTCACCAGCTGCAAAACTAGTAGGCATAACAAACCTTTCTCATGGTACTGTGTGCCCGTGATTGAGGTGCGAGATTTGTATTTTGTATGTATATTTAAAAAGGACTAACAAATATTTTATTTGGTGATTACCAATAATCTACTGAAGAATGGTTTATATCTGTTGTGTACCTACCCACAGAGGAAATTAGTAAAATGCTTAAAAAATGCACTTGTTTCCATTTTATATGCAAGAAGTGGTTATGTGCCATTCATTGGCAGAATTACAATCCATCAAAACATTAGATACATACCTTTAAAAAAAAAACTAAATATGTAATTTTTTACTCTATATAATTTTTAACTGAAAAAGAAAACCCTAACTAATATGTTTTAAAAAATTATGTATTTTTTGATAATCCAACAGTTAAGCTTTATTTCATATTTGATACTAATTAACCCTCTGGCTGCTCATCCCACGATTTCCACAGGCAACTCAAATGTAGCAAAATCTGCTAATCCCGCGATTTCCGCAGGCATGCGTTTTTCTTTCTTTATTTAGGAGCACATTCCGTTTTTGCCCCATTTAACCACTGAAATAAATTATATACAGCATTATACGTTTAGTTTACATTTTGGCCAACAGATGTAGTTAGTTGTCCACTAAATTGCGGCATTTGAAGGCACGTGGTATCACCGCTCAAACTCCACTTTTTGCGCCTTTTTCTTAGAGAAATGGCTGCTGGAAAACATTCAGCGATTATTTTGATTATTTAATTAAATTGTTGAATTATTAATTAGATTTATTGATTAGATTAATAATTAGATTTATTGAATCTGGTGTGAAGACTGTGAAGTTGGACATTGCCTTGAACCCTGTTTTGAACTCTATCATACTAAACTGCATTTCTAAGGTATTTTTTCCTCAGTGCTTTATATTTTCTTAAATTTTATATATTTTACTATTTTACATCATGCAATAAATAGAAATTGACTGAAATTAATTTTAAAAAAATTTTGGGGGGTGATAACATTTGAAATTGGTTTTTCTGGCAACTTAGTTTTTCATGATAAAAATCTATATATAAAAAGAATATTTTCTAGAAAGGAAAAATGCACTTTTCATTTCTCCAATATATATATAGAGAGAGATTTAAAGCATGAAAAAAAATTTTTTTTGAAGCGATTTTGGTCTACAAATTGAGCAGTCAGAGGGTTAAACTTCTAATAATGTTATTTTGAAAATAATAAAACTTGAAATTAATTAGACTGATATTAATTAAGACACAATAACACGCCGAATAAATACTAATTCAGAAGTCAAACAACAAAAATCAGCGTTATATTTAAAAATTTTCACAGGACTAGTTTCGATGGTTTTACCAAACCACCATCCTCAGCTGCAAAACCACAAATGAACAAGATAGGAAATAATGATTAGATAAGATAAGAAAGCCTGGACAAGAATAAGCAAGTGGCGCCATCTGTTGGTGAAACCAGAACTAAAACATAATATCCCTAAAAGCCCTAAAAGCCTAAAATCTGTGAAAATTTTGTGAATATAACGCTGATTTTTGTTGTTTGACTTCTGAATTAGACTGATATTAGTTAACAAACAGCACATTAACACAAAAGCATTTAAGTAAATTTGTAATGAAATATGCTGGCATATTAATAAAAGTATTATATTTTAGTTAGTAATAGATAAAACATGACTTCATAAATCTTTTCAGAGGATCAGGAATAAGTATATATACTAGAATTCAGAAAGATAGCATTTTTCAGTTCTGTAATTTAATTCTGAATGAAAATCTAATGCCTTGTAGGAAAACTGCATTTTCATTTTACATTGGAACTATTCGTAAGACTTTCTTATGAATCTATAGCGGAAGTAGATTATGAATTTAATTATCATTCTTAGGTTTCTAAAAACATTTCCTTGAATCAGACATTGAGAGAGTAATCAAGCATTTTGATAATGAAAAAGGAACTTCAGTAAAACTAATTTGTTTCATTCAAGAATGCTACACCTTCACAAATGGACTGCCCACAATACTTATCAGCTTAATCTTCAGCTTCTAAGGTGTGCTTTGCCATAATTAAATACACCACCACACCACTTCAGCTTCTATCGAAAGTGCTGATGACAGCAGAGATATTTGAGAAAAACAATTTACAGCTTGCACTTTTTGCAAATCTTAGTAATGAACTTTATTTTATGATAAGAAAAAATGTTTTCAGACATTTTTAATTTCTGTCAAACATAAAAATCTGAGAAAGTTCTTAATACCTGGACAACTATTTTCAAAGAAAATAAAGTGCTATTATTATGATAAAAAATGTGTGATATTAAAGTTCTATCTTTTTGCTATTTTTAATACTCATTCTGTTTCTGAAGTAATAAATAATATTTTTTTTGAAAGTTTAGATGCTTTATTAAATATTTATACACCATAAAAAGAAAATTTGTTTTCACTTTTATAAAAATACCTATTTCTACATTAAAAACAGTTAATAATGAGAATTATGGTAAGCAGAAAAATGCAGCATTCATTACGGACTTTGTACTGTACATGGATTCTGCATTATTTAATAACAGAAACGACATAAGAAAAGCAACATAGTTCTTTTTTTGTCATTGTTTACAATGAAATAATGCATTTATGATATTTTTATCTATATTATAGATATCTCTTTTATAAGCTAAAATCATACATATTAACTTTTTATACATAGAATCTACAGTGCTTTAAACTTTTTCTTTGTTTCATTAAATTATTGAAATATAATCAAAACTTTACCTGTGACCAGTTGTGAATACTACTCACAGAGCTTCTAACAGAACCAGTTGGTGAAGGACATGGTGAGCTGCCTGACATGATTGCTGCTCTCACATCCTAACAAAAAATTTCTTTAATTTAATATGCTGATATTGTGATAAGAAACATTGGGAATAATTCTATAAAACACAATCTTTCAATTTGCAGGTAAAAGTTTATAGAAAGTCTTTTCTTTTGGCTGCATTGCACTTTTGCTAACATTTCCTCAAAACATAAAATAGTGACACGAAGGGACAATTTTATCACGAGAATAGAAAAAACTAACACGTGCTACATTGTACTTATGACAACATTTTTTTTTTTTTTTTTCAAATGCTCAAAGCATGTTTTTTCATAAAACCTCTTCAAGATTTGCAGAGAATATTTTTATTACGTCAAAAGATTCAAAATGGTGAATAGAAAGGGGCAATTTTAAACAAGAAAATAGGAAAAAGAAACAGTTATCATATCAGGTGAACATAAAGCATGAGAACCAGAATTTTTGAACTTTTGCCCAAAATTTAGCCACAAGACATTGTAAATGGCGCATTAATCTAACGCAAAATCTATTACTCATCTCAACACTCCAAGTTGTTTTCTATGAATTACTTCATGCAAATGCTGCAACAACACTTTTTGATAACAGTTTGGACAATTATTCAAAATTCATGATGCACAACACTATGATAACCAAAGAAAACAAAACACAATTTTTTGATTTTTGATTGTTTTTTATGCAATTTTTTGGTCTTACTTCATCTTTTCAATACCATTCATTTGATACTTATGCTGTTCTTACAGCAAAAACATGTTCTACCACTGTTAATAATGCAATTTTAGGAGGACTCCTTAGAAAGCATCTCCTGGGTCACTTGAACACACTCTTTTCCCTTTAACATTAATATTTTCCCCCAAACAAGTGATACATTACAAATGACATTTCAACATTGCTTGCAGAATCAATATGGGAAAATATTAATGAACATCCTTCAATACTTAATGATAGTTTTTAAATTCCAAATCTCTGACTTGATCAATGTGGTGCTCATTAAATGAAGTGCAAGGTCTACTAGAGCAAAGTCCTCTTTAACATATTCTTTGCCTGTTTTAAACATCTTACCAGGGCTGATCCTGGTGGGAGGCAAGATGTTGCACAACACGTGAGCAGCCAATTTCAGGGCGGCGAAATGATTATCAAATATATCATACTTTTGTAAAAAAGGGTGGCCAGTTTTAATTTGCATGTGGGTGGATAATAGTCTACAATCGGTACTGCATTTTACAACACTAAACAATTTTCTTTATTTGCTAATGTGTTAGGGGTTACCCTCAAATGCTTTTGCAACATTTCAAATGTTTTAGCAGCAGAAATTTCACTGTGAAAACAAAATTTAATGCATACTCTTTCCTTGATTACTTTCAGCATTTTGTAAAAATACCAAAGCAAAAATTTTTTATTCATTAAAAATAATTATTTGCAAATAAGGAAATCAATGAAGGTCATAATAATTTCTGGGGGGGGGAGGACACAGCAAACGAGTTCTTGCATGTATGTATCTTATATGAATCATTTCCAATATTTTCTGATTACAACAGTAAGTCATAATCAAAATGTCTTATTAAATTACTTAGACACTGACAGAAGCCCTTCAATTATATATAATTTTATAAACTTTTGAAATCAAAGCTATTTAAAAAAAGTTAAAAAATTTTCGTTTTTAGACACATACCCTCAATTTCAACTCTTCTTCTAATTTCTGAACTTTTCTTTTTTCAGTATCTAGTTGCTCTAAACAATTTGCCATTGTATTGTGTAAATTTTCCTATTAAACAGAATACATAATAACAATCTACATACTAGGAAAATAAAAAAATCTGTTATAATAATGCCAATAAGGTTGTCATTCTATGTTCAGAATCTAAATAAAAATTAATGCTAATTTGCATAAATTATACAGATTAAGCATAAAGTATTCACAATGAATTAATGAATAAAAAGTCATCTTTACATCGATAGTTTCTTTTTATCTAACATGGCTTCATTCGGTACTATTCCGTTTTGAGGATCGTAAAAAAACTGCAGCGAAAATGTATGCGCAAAAGTGACAAATCTAGTAAATGCGCCCATTTAACAGCGCGCCAAATCTAGTGTATGTGCTGATTTCAGATTGCGTAAGTTTATATAGTTCTATATTTCTTAAGATGCTATTGAAATACTAGTTTAATTTTTAAATCCTTTTTTGATTTTAAATTCTTTTTTGATATCCTATGGATTTAACAATTTGGGAATTGCCCATGACGAAAAGTGTGCAATAGAATTTTGGGTTTTTCAAAGAAAAGCATCATTCATTATAGAACATTATGTTCGAACAACCAAGGAGATGAAAGTATGCTTTAGTGATAACTCGGTAGCGAAATAGCGATGCAGGCATCCATTCAGTTATGTTTAGCAATTTTTATATAAATTACAATAACGATCTGAAATAGTTATTTACTCTTATGCTTCCATTCAGTCTCACGCTCAGCCTTTTTTATATAAATTATAATAATGAAAAAGTATTATATGAAATTAACCTTTCATCTAAATTAAAACATCAATCTTAATTATTTACTATTATACTTCCTTTCTTCCATTAGGGTTGCCGCAATTATTTTTGGCAGCACTGGCATCAACAATAGTTTGGCAATTTTTTATGGCCCACAAAACTGAATAGTACCCTTCAACTCCTTCACCTATATCATAAAAATACCTTCTTTTGACCACCAATTAATATATATATATTTGAATTTAACAAACATTCTCTATTCATAAAAAGCAAATTTAAAGTTAATTTAAATGAAATTTAATGCAAACAAATGAATGATTTATTATTGTTGCGAACTAATCTACAATATCATTTAAATTCTAAGAGCATATGTAAATCAAGTGCAAGTATCAAAATCCATGTATAAATATAAAATTAAAATTCCAAAAATTATTTAATCCTAAAATTTTTTTTTAGAAAAATGCAGATGTGAATTATTATTGAGCAGGCAGGAGACAGACTTATCAAGGGAAAGTTACCTCCAAACCTAACTTTTCAATCATTCTATTCGTGTTTTGTCATTCATGTAGGCAAGGGTAAAAGTAAAAACCAAAAGTAATACCAAATGTCTCAATTATAGCCCGAATTAAGTGAATTACCAAAAAGAAATTTAAACAGATGGAATTTTGAGAAATTAGCAATTAAAAGACAAGTATTAAAATTAAAAAAATTAAATTATAAAAAATAAGAGTAGAAAACAAATGTAATCTAGGAACTCTTGCCCACAAAAACTTTCTCTACACAAATTATGAATATAAATTACATATTATCTATCAAAAACAATACATAAATTATACCTAAATAATACTAAAAAAGTAAATAGTAAGTTTTAATTTAACTTACCAACTAGTTTGTTTTGGGGGGTGAGAAGTATTGCCAAACTAAGTGATGTAAGTGTGTTCTGCAAACTTTAAATAGAGGGTGTTAACGTAAGGTTGAGTGTAAAGTTGCTATCTGTGATCAATTTAAAAAGCCTATTCTGTAAACTTTTATGTAATGTAAAATGTGTGTTCTGTTGTAAAATTGTGTAAAAAAATCGTAAAATGTAAACTGAAATGTTATGCGAAAAAATGTAGCAAAATATTATGAAATGTAAGATTTAAAGGATGTAAAAATTGAAAAGTTTTTGAAAAAAAGTACTGATAAAATTTTGAAGTAAAATTTAATTTTAATTCAGATTTTGAAAATTTTTTTATAAAACTTTTTTAAATGCTATTTAAAGAAAGAATTTATTGTAATATTCTAAATTTATTAAAATTGCATTTCAAGTGGTTTAATTAAAACTTTACTAAATACTGGCTAAAAAGTAAGGAAAACTAGAAAAAGATAAAAATCTTCACTTAATTCGGGCTATAATTGAGACTTTTGAAAAGAGTTGGCCCTTTGAAAAGAGTTAGTAAAAGGAAAGTATCTGGTATTGATTACATATACATATTTACAAATTAATTTTTACATTATTTACAAGATAATCCCTTAACTTTTCAAAATCCTCCATTACCCTCCAGTTAAGGTTTAAGGTAATGTTATCATACCATAAAGAGTCAAAAAATTATAAAGAAAAGTTAATGCCTTTCTAATATATAAATTAATAAATTGTGTTGGGATTTGGTGATTAACTTGAACATTAATTAGCTTTATTATTTCTTCCTTTAAATCTTCTATTTCAGTACATATTTTTATTCTGATTATTTGGCTATAAAATATGTTTCCTGTTCTAGAGATATTAGAGTTCCAATTAATTAGTTTAATAGTATTAAACTGGAAATTCCTCCTTTTATCATATAATTTAATTTTGCTGTGTTTAATTATGAGCAGGTCTAGGTATTCAATAGTATCTTGATTCGTATTAGTTTTATTAAATTTTAAACTATTTGGGTAAATTTTGCATTGCTCAAAAGCAGAATTATTATTGAAAGTTATAATATCATCTATGTATCTAAATGTATTTGTAAATAACTTTAATTCATACTTATTTAAACTTAGTTGGAATGAAAGAAAATAATACATTTTCACACCTTTAATTAATATTTATTGAATAAATTAATTTCCGTATGACCTCTTCTTGTTACTTATGGCCATCATGATGGTGATTTGTAGATACCATTTTTGAAATGTCTTACCCTTAGAGGCAAAGAACTCAAGTAGTGTTTGGCTGACATCTGCTTCAGTTTTCAATTTTTCACCCTTCAAAAATTTTGCAATGAGAAAAATGACTGATAACTGGAGGATGCTAAGTCTGGAAAGTATGGTGGATGCAGCAGAATTTCCAGCCTAGCTCCACGATCTTCTGATAAGTGACCAAAGCAGCATGTGGTCTAGCATTTTCATGATGCAGAATGATATGCTTTCTGCTGAACATTGGCAGACTCTTTTATTTGGCTGTTTTGTTTAAATCATCCATTTGCTGACAGTATCTCTTCATATTGAAATTTCTTAAGTTTTCAAAACCCCAGTGTATTGGTCCTTGGATGTCCCACCCTATACACAGCATTCTCTTATTCAGGATCAAACTCAGTTTAGAGGTGGTTGGGCATACAATATGCTCTTTTCCTGATGAGATTTCATAGGTAATCCACTTCTTATCATAGTTACTATCCAGTCTAAAACAGGCTTGTTTTTCGGCCTGAACAAGCCAAGATGTGCATATGATGACTCAATCATGCAAATTTTTCTCACTTAACTCATAAGGAACCCATCCGGAATATTCATAGACCAATCTTAGTTTCCAAATATGGTGCGAAATGGTTTGTTGAGCTGAACTAAGCTTTTCTGCATTCTCCAATGTTGTCAAAAATGGATCTTGTTTGTTTACCATCTTGTCTTGACAATATTGTTGCTGATCAAAGGTTGCCCAGGGCATTGGCATATCATTAAGGTTGAAATCATCTCCAAATTTTTCAAATCCTTTCCTGCACATTCTATCCAAAATTGCATCTGCACCAAAAAGTGTCATTAAATTTTGACATGCTTCTGTAGCATTTCTTCTTTGTTGAATTCATACAAAACACAATGTTGTAAATGAACTTATTGGCAAGCATGTTTATACGATCATGTCTCACTTAATAAATAATGATATCAGACATTTTTTTTTCAGTTAATTTAGAAGAGTAGATGTCTATAAATGCAGTGATAAAGAGGGACAGCCATACAAGTCTCAAATGAATATCAGCATGTGTGCTGAAACTTGAAATACATTTTTGGACAGAACTTTCCAGTAAACTTTACATATTATTTAACTGTGGACATGATAATTTTTATAAATTTTAAATTTAATTGCTATATAAAAATGCTTATGTTTAATACTTTATTTAAAATGTTAATACTTTATTGACTTTAAAAGGGGGAAAAGTCCAGAACTAATTATTTATTTCTCTTTATTTTATTCATATACAGTCAAAAGTCGTTAATTCGGACACCCATAATCCGGAAAGATCTATAATCTGGACCTCAAAGCTACAAACTTTCTGCGCATGCGTCGGGGGGGGGGGGAAGGACACAGCGGCACACAATGAATTGGAAGTCAAGCTGTCAACACTATTCTTATCATCAGGGCAGATGTTTTTATTTTATTTGGCTTATAATTTCTTACTAAATGTAGTATTTCATCTCAATGTATTCCATCTTTGATATGATTTAAATCAAATTCCTTGTCATTATAATTCGCTTCCGATATTGAAGAAAGTGACACAGAAGTTATTGAAAACGAAAAAATTTCGATTGACAAATTAGTCAGTATTCTCGACACAGCAACTATAGCACTTAAAGAGCGGAACTTTGTAACTGAACAAGAAATTATGTCTGTTTATAGAATTAAAGAGAAAGTATTATCACATAAAAAACGAAGTAACTTAAACAACTTACATTGAAAGAAATGTTTAATAAAGTAAACAAATAAATATTAAGCCTTTTTTTTTTGTAAATTTTGATACCCTTTAGATCATAATTGTTCTTTATTTCATAAATTATGGTTTCATATTTTTAACTTTATAATTTCTGCATCCCATCTTACCAGATTTAAACTGATGATCTATAATCCGGAATTGCCGAAGTCCCAACGAGTCCAGATTAACGACTTTTGACTGTATTAGAAGCACATGATAATTCTCATTTTAATAATCATTAGATATCAGAATTTTCCCACCCCCATGTTAAATTCTGTCCTATTATTAAGTAAACATATGTGATTAGGGAAGGCCTTTTTTTGAATTATGGTTTTTCACACAAATTAGATCTACAAAAGTAGACATGAATATGTAAAGCAATGACATGAATCAATAACTCAGAGTTAATTGAAAAACATGTATAGTACTGTCATTCAAATAAAAATTTGTTTTAAATTCTTTGGATTAATGAGTCTTCTTTTATTTAGTTATTCATTTATTTTACTGTGTTTTTACAGCAATTTTATAGATATTCATTGTTTGTTTTGAGCGAGCCTAATTTGTGACCACTATTTTATTTGCACTTAATTAATTCCCTTACTATTTTACATGTAATTCTTATAAATTGTGAAAATAACTTAAACATAACCTGAGGCTGTTGATGTTTATTCATTCTTGGCAACAGATTTTGATCACCAAGCCGGCTTTTCATGTATTCTTGCCTACATGATAATATTTGCAAAACTTCCAGAACACACATTTTTAACTCTCTAAATTGATACTTTTATATCATTCAATACTACTTTCTTCCTTTGATAAAGATATAAATAGCTGGCTAATATGGGTCTCTTTATTTTGCATTGGCATGCTTATGAATTTTTTATTCAGCGAATATAGCTTTTGCTATACATGCAATTTGCAATATTTAATGTTAAAAAGAATTTCAGCAATATTTTTATTTGTTTTCTTTCAGACGTTTCTCTATTTAAACCATTATCCCCTTAAACTGAAATAAAGGTTTATGTTTACCTCTTCATCCAGCATAGTTACTTGACAAACTTTTAATTTATATCTATATAGTACAGTAGAAAGACTCTAAGGCATTAAAAGGCTTTCCCCTTCACTTCTTATTGCCCCATACACAATTTTAAAAACTCAATCAGCATTGGTAGTTTTTGTTGTTGATAAAAAAATGAGATATACTCAACATTATCTTTTATCTTATTTTATGAAACGTAAGATACTACTTACAAAGGATGTAAAAATTTCTATATGATTCACATATCATTAACTTCTTTCTACACCACTCTTTGACCACACTCTACTTAATTTCAACCAAACAATTTTTTTTCATTGATTATTGTTCGGTGTCTGAAAGAGTATTGCTTGGCAGCATGGTTTTACGCCAAGCAGAGTTTGGCTTTAGTGTAACCCTAAAGTTATTTCGTTTTTGCTTTATTAGTATGAATGATTTCTGACTTGATGTAAGAGCATATGGTTGCTCGCTTTTTAGCTAACTTACATAGGTAACTATAAGCACATGCGTGTGCTAGTATTCAATAATGTTGTTTTTGTTAAAATAAAATTGTTATTGTTAATATTACAGTCCACTTACTGAAGTTAAGTATCATTAAATAAGTTCGAGCTATCTTCGGCAGGAACAATTATCTAAGAGTGGCATAGCACTTCCTAGAACTTTCTCTACATGTGTAGTAAAATTGCAAAGCTGTAATTCATGCCTTTTATTATCTTATTAATTTAGAAAAGAGATTTTTTAAATGAAGTTTTAATAAATTAAACATAGCTAATAGGCAGTTATGTTTCAACTCTTGAAAAGTTACAGCAGGTTTATCTGAAACTACTGTGTTTCTGAAAAATTAAACATAACAAAACTTATAAATGAAGCTTTGCACATCACAAAATATATACTTAAACTGCATTTTGAACACATATAACTATCAACAAACTACAAATATGTAAAATAATAACTGAATAAAAAGTGTATAAAATAAGATGAATACAAGTTACAGGAATTATGTGGTCAATACATTATACATAGAAAATAAAATTACCTTTTCTTTTTTTAGCTTTGATAATTCTAAATTTAAATTCTGCTTTGCTGTTTCCACTGTGCATGTTTTCCTGCCCAGAGAAAGAAAATTGATTTTTTAAAGTTTTATCCAATACTGTATTTATCATATACATAAATTAAAAGGAAAAGAAAGGCTGAAACAACAAACTAACAAAATTTGACATAATTTTAAAAACTATTAGAAAGGATCAGATTTGAATTATAAACATATTTTAGTTTTTATGAAATAATCACTCTTTTATACATCCTACTTGTCCCTACATCAAATAAACAAAGAAATACACAAAACAACAATTATTTTGACATTTCAATCTTTTAAGAATTTATATAGATAACAAAACATCTAAAGAATGGATATTTATTATTTAAAGTACTTCTTAAAACTGCAGAGATAAATTTGTTCTCATACAATAATTAATATCTGACATTCATGAACTAAATAATACACTGTCACAGAAAAGAACAAATTATTAGACTTGAAAAATTAAAAGTAAAGAGGCTAAATGTCCTAGAATTTTAGAAGCAGGGATTCTAAAGGCCTATCTACATGGAGACAATCTCCAAATAAGTATCTCTGCATGTCTGTGGCGCTTATGCCAATTCATTTTACATAAGAAAACATATCTCCGGAACATCAGATAAATGTCTGCACAATGCCTGTACCACAAGTCCTGATGATTGCACATGACAGCACATGTTGTCACCAGAGAAATATTTGCCAATAGCCAATGAAACTGCATATGGAAATGACATGTCCAAAAAGGAATGGCGGTTACTCTCAACATTTAGCTTACAGAACATATGGTGGGAATCATTGAGTTTTTCCTATTATTTTAAAAAACATAATTTATGATGCAGTATTTCTTTCAGATCATAATTCCCAATGATTTCCTTATAAACAGAATATTTTTTTCACTTTGGTACAAGCTATACAATGATGTATCTTCTTTTACCTCATTTGTTAGCATTAATTAAATATACTAGAATATTCATCCCTGGGGATTATTACTACATTCTTATGTTCTGAGAAGTCTGACAAAAAAGAAAAGTTTACTATCGTTTGCTATTTGCATTTGATTGTATTTCCACTGGGCACATTTACCATTGTATTTAAATTTTCTGTGAACCAGTAAATTGTGACTTCAAGTTCAGCCAAGCTATTTTCTGGTTTTTTCCTACTGAAAATAAATATTTTATTGTTTCTGAAATTTGGTAATTGACAGTTTAATAATACACGAATTATTACAATTTTTACATATCACGTACTAGCAGCTTCGCTGCCAGCCTTCGTCTGGCTTTTAAATGTACCGGAAAAATGGCTGAAGGGAACACCAAACGTTAAATTTAAAAACTGTGTAGAATTTTACTCTGCAGAACAACTTCATAAAAAAGTTATTACGTATAACAAAATTACAATGAAATAAGCAATATTCCTTAATACAAATATTAATTATCCTAATAAATAAATTAACCAACTTCCCTTTGCAAAATCTTAAGAACTCAAATGGTATAAAGGAGGTTAAAAACTTCGTTTCCTAAAAAAATCACTCAAAACTTCTCAGTATCTTAAAAACAGTGAAATGAGCAATAAATAACATAAAACAATACAAAAAAAACAAAAAATTCTGAAAAGCGAAGTATAATTAATGATATTTTATCTTATATTTTCAAGAGAAAAAAATTACAATGAAATAAGCTATATCCCTTTATACAAATATTAATTATCCTAATAAAAAAATTAATCAACTTTCCGTTAAAAGAAAAAAATCATGCAAAACTTTTCAATATCTTACAAACAGTGAAATAAGAAAAAAATAACATGAAAGAAACTCAAAAAACATAAAATTCGCGCAGAATTTTACTCTGCAGACTAACTTTATAAAAAAAATCAATAAAAACGTATTATATATATAAAAAAATGACAAAGAAATATGCCAATCTCTTAAAAACAGTGACATAAGAAATACGATGAAAAATTGTTGCCAAACCCATATTTCTAAAAGAATGAAACTATTCAAAACCATGCGATTTCATCAAAAATCTATTATTTTTCTATCATAAATTTTTTTTTAAAAATACAAAATATTATCATGTTTTCAAAATTCTTTTTGTAAAAGCAGTCGCAAGGATAAAAGTTTAACGTGTCCAAAAATCAAAGAAAAATAAACTGTACATTTTTAAAAATAAACTTTTTAAGAAAAAATCCCGTCGAAAAGGTGTTAAGCTCCCTTTTTTAAATAAATTCGTATTGAATCGATTTATTGAAACACGAAATTTATTTTAAGTTCGTAAAATAGCTAAGTGCCTACGTTTCATGACGATGTGAAAATGGAGTGAATAGAGTAAAATCTCGATTTCCTATAGACCATTATGTCTCAAAATGACGCAATTTCGTCACAAAACAAAATATAAAAAACAAAAAATTTTAATTTCAATTTCAAAAAAATCGCTTCGAGGTGCACTGGCTCTTGTTTAGATGCACCTATGGACCAAATTTCGCAGCCGTGGGTCTATTAGCTTACGCGCAGCGTAAATGAAAGACACACACAGACAGACAGACTCTTTTATTATATGTAGAGATAATAACTTTATGCTATTTTATTATTATATATGAAATTTTATATCGATTATTTGCATAATAATTTCATATTAATTATATAAACATTAGATTTTTACATTACTTATAATGGGATAATTTTTTTTCTTTCATACACTTAAAATGATAGCTTATTATGAATCTAACTATCAGCAATGTGTGTTAGATTTTATGCTATGTATGAAGTAATTGATTTATTTTCTTCTATGTAATGAATGTATATACATATATATTAAAAGCAATTAGTATAAAAGGAATTTTTTTTTGCAACTTAAGTGCAGGAATTTTTCAATTAAGCTTTTCTCAGTTTCTTTTCATGCTTTTGTTTCTCATGAGTTATACACACATATTATATGTATATTATATTTCACAATGAATTGCTTTTCTTTATCACTTCATTAATCTTACTTTATTTTTAAATTTATAATTATTTATTTTTCATATTTTGCATATTTATTGGCTTTTTTTAAGTTATGATACTTTCTGTCTGCTTTTAAGCCTTCTGTTAATTACTACTACTATTATTATTACAACTTGTTGAAAAAATAAAGGCACTGAAAACTTTGCAAATTATTACTCTTGTTGTAAGATCAATGGAGGTCTCCAATTGGATACAAATTACATCATTTGCTTTGACTGCTCTGACTGGCTTTGTAGCTAAGCTCGGAGCAACTTAAACACAAAATCTCCCTCTGCAGAAAAAATTCTGTCAGGTGATACGTCTGCGAGGGAGACTTGCTTGAAGATAGTATGTCTCCTTGTGACCATTTCAAAGTGGAACTTTAATGATAACCACCCAACATTTTATTATTTATAATATTTATAAAAAATAGGATAGCCCCACTAAAACCCCTTACTTTACTGAGGTTAGAATTAATGGGGGCATTGTTATCAGTTAAGTTAGTCAGGAATATTCTGAAAGCATTGAAATTGAAAATTACGTGCTATTTTTGGACAGACTCAACAATTACTTATTTTTGGATCCAAAAACAACCTGAAGCCTTCAAACTTTTTGTCAAGAATCGTGTCTAAGAAATACAAAAATTGAGAGCTCACCTCAAGATTGGCATTATTGCCCAGGTGTCGATAAACGTACAGATCTTGTATCTCGAGGAACGAAGATTTCCAAGTTAACGAGACCATTTGGATGCAAGGTCCCCAGTGGCTTCAACTCCCTCACAAGCTTTGGCCAAGATTAGATATTAAAGAAACAATAGATGAAAACAAACTGGAATACCGAAAGGGATCCGGTGATATACATCAACTTGAATGTACAATCGAAAAAAGTACAAATTTAATCGAAAAGATTATCTTTTCGACATATCAAAATATAGCAAATTAGAGAAGGTGTTGAGAGTCAATGCTTGAGCAACACATTTCATTAGAAAATTAAGAAAAACTAGCGACATTTTAGGAACTCTCACAGCTGAAGAGTTACAAAAAGCAGAAAATTTCTGGATAAGGTCAGAGCAAAAGAAGTTTTTTTGCCAAAGAATACAAATCCCTCAAAGAAGGTAATTCGGTTGGAAAAAATTCTCCTTTGTACAATTTTCTTCCTTACATTGATGAAAAGGAAATCATGAGGTTGAGAGGAAAATTGGAACTTTCTGACTTCTCACTAGGTAATAAATATCCAATAATCCTACCTAAAAATTCCCGACTGACGATACTAATTGTATGCAAAGAACATGAGAAGATAATGCATAGGGGAATTGCTGCAACTTTAGCTAAAGTCAAATCATGTTTCTGGATTCCTAAAGGACACCAGTTAGTCAAAAAAGCATTAAAAGGTTATATGATCTGCCAAAAATATTTAGCTAAACCAGCAGACCAGATGACAGACCCCTTACCAAAGGATAAAATCCAAGAATCACCTCCATTTCCAGTCTGTGGAATCGATTTCGCCGGACCAGTTTACGTAATGAATTCTAAAGACACTCGAAAATTCTATATTGTTTTGCTCGTTTGTGCAGTAAACCGAGCTGTACACTTAGAACTTATATCAGATATGTTAACAAAATCCTTTTTACTTGCATTTCGTAGATTTTTGGGCAGAAGAGGAAACTGTGTAATCATCTACTCTGGCAATGCCAAAACTTTTAAGAGGACAAAGAAAGAACTTAAGAATTTTTCAAAAGTTTTAAAAGATGACAAATTCAAGAATTTCATTCCCAAAGAAAGAATCCATTGGAAATTTATAATCGAGCGAGTCCCATAGTGGGGAGGGTTTTATGAGAGACTTGTTAGATCTGTTAAAGAATGTTTAAGAAAAATCGTAGATTGTTGACTTTTGAAGAAATGTCTACACTACTTGTCAAAGTGGGGTCAGTTCTTCATTCTCTAAGTTATGTTTACAACGACAATGACGAGCCACAACCCTTGACTCCAATGCATTTCCTAAACATTGGCCAAACTGATTTGAAGTACCTTTGACTTTTGCTAGAAATATCGGTAGCGAAACGACAAGAGAAATGCTGTTAAAAAGAAAGTATTACCAAGAATTGCTATTAAAACTGTTGCAATGCAAATAGAAGCAAGAATATTTATTAGATCTTAGAACTGCCCATTTCTTGAATAATTCGCAACTTCAACCGGAACTAAAGGTAGGAGATGTTGTTTTCATTGAAGGAGATAATAAAAACACACTATTATGGAAACTTGGCAGAATCAGAAAAACTATTCCTGGACGTGATGGTAAAGTCCGATCATTCGAATTAAAAACTGGTAATGGGACTTTAAATGTACTGTTCAACATCTATATCCTCTCGAACTAAAAAAAAAAAAAAAAAAAAAAAAAAAAAAAAAAAAAACTTTAACGATTTGTTGTGCATTTTTCTTTTTTTTTCTCCTATTAATGATTAAATTGAATATTGTTAGTTAAGTTGAAAATATTTTAAAAAGTTTAGTTCATTTATTAGTTATAACATTTATTAATTGATACCTGTTGTGTATAACCCGTTTTGTAATTGAAGTGCTTGACTAATTATAATTTTTTGTATTTTTATAGAATAGTGATATATGTACTTGATTGTACGTATAACTTAGAAGAACTCTTGTCAGAGTTCATGTGGGGAGTGTGTTAAGGACTATTCTTTGATATCACCAAGAGATGGTGTTAGAAAACCATCTATTGGCTTCCTTAACCCTTCCCCTTCTGAACACGTGACTTGAAATTTTATTCTTACTACACAATATAATTCGATTTAGATTCTTTGATGGAACTATTCAGTTCTTGCTTTTTGAGCCTTAACATTCGATTCAGGCATTTTAGCCTACATTGTATATATGTAAATATTAAGTTTAATTAAAATTTATGTAAAACCCTTCAGGCCATGTTTCTTATTTTGGATTATGAATTATTCGAATTTGATCTAGAATTTTGTTACACCCTTAATAGTAAGGTGTATAGCAAGATGCTGGGCCATGTTTATGCTGCTATCAAGAAAAAACTTTTAACTTAGTTCCGGGGAAAAAGGCAATGTTCCATCAAGATAATGCAAACCATATGTGTCTACTTTCACCGGATGGATTCTGTATGGACTTGAATGGGACCTTTTCCGCACCCACCCTATAGCCCTGATATCATTCCTTTAGATTCCTACCTTTTTTCACACCTGCAGCTACATTTTGTTGGTGCTGTCTTCCATTCTCTACAGAATGTCCAAATAAGGTAATCTGTTTTTGGATTCGCGGTCACCAATTTTCTGGCCTGAAGGCTTTGAAAAACTATTAAAACATGGCAAAAAAAACATAGATTTGGGTGGTGATTATTACCTGCACTAAAGGTGCTGCTTTCATTTTTTTCCTTCTAACTTTATTAAGAGAACGATTTTTGGCGGCAAACTTTCGTTACAACCAGATATTTATTTCATGTAATCATAAAATCTATAAAACAATTGACATCGAGGAAATACTACAAATACATTCATCTGAAATTTCAATTCAGTTATTAGAGATTTCCTTTTTAACAGAAGGCAAGATATATTTAACAAGTTATATGTGTAAATAACACATAATAACTCTTTGAAATTTAAATTCAATTTTTAAGCATGTTCTTTTGAATATTTTTTATCATAATAACTTGATACTCACATACCTATGTTTCTATAATCATCATTTGTGATAGTGGAAAAACTTAATTTTTATTTAAAAATATTTTTTATTCAAACAATTCAAAAGAATAGTTTATTTTAATAGCTAAACATAAACAACAACAAATAATTTTGCTAAATACATGATTGAGTATTTCAGCTTTCGAAATTAATGAATTAAACAAATTAACGATATTAAAAACTTAATTTTGATTTTTTGAACTTAATGAATAAAATTATTATATACAGTCAAAAGTCGTTAATCCGGACTCATCAGGACTTCGGCGATTCTGGATTATCGATTTTTCTGGATTATAGATCATCAGTTTAAATCTGGTATGATGGCATGCAGAAATTATAAATTTAAAAATAGGAAACCATAATTTATGAAATAAAGAACAATTATGATCTAAAGGGTACCAAAATTTACAAAAAAAAAAAAAAAAAAAAAAAAAAAAAAAAAACTTAATATTTATTTGTTTACGTTATTAAACATTTCTTTTAATGTAAGTTGTTCAAGTTGCTTCGTTTTATGTGATAATACTTTCTCTTTAATTCTATAAACAGACATAATTTCTTCTTCAAAGTTCCGCTGTTCAAGTCCTATAATTGTTGTGTCGAGAATACCGACTAATTTGTCAATCGAAATTTTTTCGTTTTCAATAACCTTTGTGTCACTTTCTTCACTATCAGAAGCGAATTATAATGACGAGGAATTGGATTTAAATCATATCAAAGACATAGTACATCGAGATGAAATACTACATTTAGTAATGGAATTTACAACTAAATGTACCATTACTACATTAGTAATGGTACATTTAGTTGGAATTATAAGCCAAATAAAATAAAAACATCTGCCCTGAATATAAGGATAGTGCTGACAGATCAACTTCCAATTCAATGCACGCTGCAGCGTCCCCCCCTCCTGTCACAGAGCAGCGTGAAATTGATAAACAGATTTCGAAATGGTTAGAGAAAAAAAGGATATGCCTTTATCCATTTTTTGCAGCAATTCCACTTTTTTGTTTAATGGACTTTGAAACATACTTTCGCTTTGTACATCCTTTACATATTAGTAAATATATATCGGAAATTCTATTTGACATAATCGAAACTTCAAGCTTACTTTTATAAAATTGCTCTAACAGTCTGCAAAAAATAATAAGCCTGGATCCGGCTTATTATTCGAAGATTAAGGAACAACGCAATCTACAACATTAACTGCGTTAGTTAATTTTAGCTTAGCTTAAAATTTATGCACGTTATACATTAATCGTGCATGCGTAAACATATTATGCGCATGCGCACATGCATATTCGCGGCCGTAAAGGTCTTATGCACATGCGTAAACGCCTATGTGCATGCGTCAACACGCCTATGCGCATGCGTCAACGTGACGCATACGCAGAAAGTTTGTGGCTTTGAGGTCCGGATTATAGATCATTCCGGATTATGGGTGTCCGAATTAACAACTTTTGACTGTACCACTTTCAGATATGATGCAGCAAGAAATATAAAACATTACTTGTTCAGTTTTTCTTCCAGTACTACTATTTTGGATTTTAGTGATTCAAATTCTGTTGACAACTGCAACTTTTCTTGTCTCAAAGCACTATTTTGAGCATCAAGAGCAGTAACCTTGGTTTGGCATTCTAAATATTTTTCAGAAAGACTATGCTCTTTTTCAGACAAGACTGCAAGCTGATTTTGAGCATTTCCTATAAAAATATGAACATACAAATATATGTTACTAAAAACAAAATATTTCACTATAAAATGAATTAGTAGTATATACAGAGAATAAAGTATCATTTAATATTTAAAAATATTACTATTAACATAGACTAGCTAGTATGAATTATGATCATTCATAACACTGTCAAATTTATAAGCTTTTACACATATTTAAAATTCAAAATAAAGAACTGTGCATGAAGATATCCTACTTAATCTATCAGTGAGATTTGCTTCTGTTTTCTCCCATGAAATTATATGTGCATTATATGTAGCTTGAAGATTCTCAATTTGTCGAACTAAAGGCCTTGTTGCTGAAAAATGAAATAAAGTAAGTTAAAGATTGATTTTGAATGAAACACATACAATATATGTATATATATAACCTTACCTGATGATACATTTTTTGTTAAGTCTTCATTTCGCTCTTCAGCCTCTTGCAATCTCTGAACATAAAAAACAATAAAAAATACAAAACGCAAGTATAACCCAAGAAATTTAATATTAAATAAGTACAGCACATTTTGCTGCTTCCTTAAATCAGAGAAACATGAGTGTAGAGGCAAATAAAATCTACTTTACTGCAAGCAGGAAAGCTAAAGAATCAAACTCTATCATAATTAATTTTATGGATGTCCTACATTTCGACTAAAATACATACGAGTTTTTAAAGAACTTTTACAGATTAATAATCATTGGCTTTATGATTAATAATCATAGGCTGAAACTAAAATGAAGTCATTTGCGGATTTAAGGCCCTGAACTCATTTTGCTCACATTAATTGTCCTCACCATATTCTGATTCTCACGTCAAAATTACAGAAGCAGAATTCTGATTCATTTTAGTAATCAAAATAATTTTAAGACAATATCATTAACTGATTTCATAACAATAATTATTTCAGTAAAAAATAAAAAGATATAATAATAGAAATGAAATAAAAAGAAAATATTTTTTATTCTCTTGATTCCACCAAAAGGAATAACTTTCTTCTCAAAAAATAATTGCTGCAGCATTTTTATGAATGAGAATTAAAAATATGAGACAAATTGGAAATTAATATTTTGGATGCTCTATCCACACTTTTTTTTCAGATAAAACATAAAAACATTAATGAGAAACTGAATGAAATCATCTTTGATTAACAACAACTAGCCATAAAGATGAACAATTAGTCATAAAGATGGCATTTTTTAACCATTTGTTATTATTATTATTACCATTATTAAATCACGCCTCCATTCCCCATTTTTTCATATTTCATAGCAAATGTAGTTAATTTATATTAAAAAATAGATTATGAATGTAAAATTTATTTTAAATAAGAATCAGTAATCAGTGAATCAAAGTGAGTGAGGCAGAGAATCAGTGATGGAATATGAGTGAGTTATTTATAGATGCTTAATTAATAAATGTTCTAAAATATTACATCTAATTTTACTTAAAAAAATCAACACAACAATCATAAATAATTTTAAAATATAATACTTCTCTCTGCTTTCAATTCAGTGATCATCAAATAGTTGTATTATCCTCCTTAACATTAAAGTTATCCACCTTTCTGCAGCTTTTTGTATAATTCCTATACCTTTTACAATTATAAATAATTAAGCAATAATTGAATAGATAAATCACTTCTGAACAAAGAAACAATGTCAGTTAAAGAGAAGTCAAGTAAAATAAGTTAAGTACATTAAGGATAAGTATTTAAATTTTTTAAGGAAATATTTCATTAAATTAATTTTATACTCAATGAAAAATTACTTTTTAAACAATTCAAATTAATCAGGGAAAGTTCAAGTCAAAATATTAGGATTTTATTCAAGAAATTTAATGTCAACAAAATAAGATTCTGAAAAATTCTTACATTTTGCAATGCTGCAATTTCAGCTTTAAGCATTTTTTCTCTTAAGCTCGCCTCTTCTTCATTATTAGAAACAGTATTTCTCAATTCAGTTATTTGAAGAAGCAAAATTTCTTTTTCCCTAGCAGCTTCCTTATTGGCATTTTGCAACATCAGCATTAAATTTTCTCTGGCTTCAACCTCTAGTTCAGATTTCAATGACTGAAGAAATACAAGCAATATTTTCTGCATTTAATTACACAAAATCCCTTAACAATTTATTTTTAGAAATTTTACTATTAAATACACTAAACAAATATGAAACACAAAAGCCTGGATGCACAACAACAAACAGCAGGAATAAAAAGATGAAAATAGTAATAAAGGATTAAATATACTTATATTAGAGAAATTTTAAAATTAAAATCAATTACATGAAAATAAAAATAATTTTTTTTAACAAATGTGCATGCGTGTGATTATATATATATATATAAACACATATACAGGGTGTCTCAAAAGGTCGTTACCAAACTTAATTTACTGGTCTGTCATACCATGACAAACATGATTTACATGGGAACTTGAGTCTGAAAATGCGTACGGTTACCACTAGAGGGCAAAATTTTTATGGAAGAGTGGGAAGTGTGATTATTTCAGGTAAAGAGGTTGCAACAGAAGGAAGATTTGGTTTACTAATTCAGCTCTTTATGGACATTTTGTAGAAAGAGTATTGCGTATCTGATGGTTGATGTTCTAGCAGCTACAAGTGAAAGCATCTGGTTTAAGCATGATGAAGAGTCTGCACATTTTATTAGCAAACAGAATCATATTTCTGCTAAAACTGCAGTCTGCACATTTCAGCATCAGGAATATCTTGACTAGACATATCCTGATCACTGGTTTGGCCCAGACAGAGCAGTCGCATGGCCCTGCAACCCCGACCTGACTCCCCTAGATTTCTACCTATGGGGCTACATGAAGTCCATGGTGTACGATACAACTATAACATCGGACGTGGATCTTGTAGCCAGGATCGTAGGGGCAGCAGCACATGTCCGTGACACACTTGCCCAATTAGAACGGGTCTATGAAGTCATGCATCGATGTTCTGAAGCATGCATTGTGGCGAATGGAAGACATTTCTAACAATTTGATTTATTGTTAGAAATGTCTTCCATTTATTGTTAGAAATAAATGGAAGATCTAACAAATCTAACAATTTGATTTATTGTTAGAAATGTTTCTAACAATTTGATTTATTGTTAGAAATGTCTTCCAATTTGATTCTTAACAATTGTGATTTAACCATGTTCTTTAATAAAAGTTATATTAATACCTCTTTCAACGCCCTTTCTTTTTTCCCCTCTACACTTGCGAACACTGCCCTCTAGCAGTCGAAGTTCACATTTTCAGATGCAAGGTCTTATGTAAATCTTGTTTAAGTTTGGCAACGACTTTTTGAGATACCCTGTGTACGTATATATATATTATATATAATAAAAGCAAGGAAAAAGTCAGAACACTGTTGATGCACAGTTATCCTATATTGAAGAGGAAGTATTCTGGTTGCGTTGTAAGCTAATGTGTTGACTTCGTAAATAAAACTTGTGAGTCGAGGCAATTTTAATTCCATTTTTATTTCCAATTGACATTATGTGGCCACAGATAACTTGGCACCCTAGTCGTGCCTGTTCAAGAACATTTAGATTATTGATATTTTTGCAATAGGAAGCAGCATAGCGAAATTGCGTCCAAGCACAGCCCAGACAGAAGCTGAAGTGTGTAGTTATGAAAGATGGAAGCACGTGAAGAGAAAAGTTTTGGTTTACAAAGGTAGTTTCAGTTCCCAATTAATAATTTTTTAAAAAATATAATGGAGTTCAGCGCTGCGCAGGCCATGCAAAAAAGAAAGGAAAGATCTAGAAGTGACACAATGCAGAGAAGTTATTACGATATTTAGAATAGAGAGGGAGAATTAATGTTTTACCGTTAGTTTAAATTATAATTTTGATTCACATATTTTATATATATATAATGATACACATACATATATATGCAGTTTTTGCAGAAGACAACACCAATTCACTCTTTATTCATGGATGAGATGACTATGAGGAATCTCATAGATCTAGAAATGAAGTGGAATTAAATTTGAGGATGACTGCTGTGAACATCACAACTGGCTTGATGGTTGAAACATCTATCCAGTGATACATTTATGCTGAAATTGGTACAACACTAGGAATGCTAAACAAGCTCTACAATTACCATATCAGATAATAAAGAAAGAAGACGAAGCAAGAAATGTTAATTCAAGCAGCAGCAGGAAAGGAAAAGCAATGCATACTAGTTTCGGTCATATTTATAGCCGGAAAGTCTTTGAATTAATCCAGAGCAGAGATTAGGCAAAAGATGTCTCACTGTAGAGAAATTGCAGGGAAAGAGTGACGTAAAATGGTGCAAAGCGAATCTTTGAAGTGGGGATGTGTTTAGTTAAAATTTATAAATTTGAAGTTCTTTTGAAAATTGTTTTCAGTTAAGTTTAATAATTTTATTTCATATTTTATATTTTGCACACACACACACATATATATATAATATGATTATGAGACTTGAAAAAGTCAAAGAAGAAAAAGGAAGAAATTTATCAAAAAATGAATGTGCTATGTTTATTATTCCATACAAAGGCTCCAACAGCATTAATTTTCACTGGTTTCTAAAAATGGATTACAAAATATTGATCGATCTGGTTTATAAAATTTATTAGTATAATTAATTTTTAATTATTATGATTAATTAATTAATTATAATAATTAATACAATTATGGGTTGCAAAAGATTATCAAAATGGATAGACTTTAACATTTCCTTCTTTCCTTTCATAAAACTATGAATCTGAGCCGATGTAAGCAGCATCTAAATATTCTATAAACAACACAAACTCAAGCAATACATCAAGAAATAAGACATGAAATAAACAATAAAGCAGTTAAAAAAATAATTTAAAAGGCTAGACTTTTTAAGTAAAACATTAATCAGCACTAATTTTCTTTGGCTTCTAAAGTGGGTTACAAAAGATTATCTTGAGCTATAAAATTAATTATTATGAATAATTAATTATTATAATTTTTAGTACGGTTATAGGTTACAAAATATTATCAAAATGGATCAGTTTAACATTCTTTTATATAACTATGAATTTGAGTCAAGGGAAGTAGCATCTAAATATTCTACAAAAAACATTAACTCAAGCAATAGATTAGAGACATGAAATAAACAATAAAGTAGTTAAAAAATTATTAGGCTAGCTTCTTAAATAAAACTTGCATGATGCATTTCACTTTTTCCATTATGAAATTTTAAATGAAGATCGTAATCTGCGACCTTATGCTGCATTCCTCCTTAGAGACAATCAGGATTTTCCTACTTAATTTTTGTGTTTATTTTAAACTTGCAAAGTTAAGCAGCTCTGCAGTTGCATGACATGACAGATGAAGATTACCTCCACTCAAAATTAATTATTTTATTTAATTATTCATGAAATTTTGTGTCATTCATCTAATTTTAATAGATAAGGTCCCAGCCAATCCGATGTCACCATCTACTCATGTGACCATGGTCACTTTCTCTTCTACACTTTCGACAGTTCATCTTGGATTCAGCTTAGGTATCAGTCTCCAGGCTCACAGTAAAACACCAGTTGTGCATTACTTGCACAACAACCGCGGCATATCAGCGGTAGTTGGAGTTGGATAAAATACCTATAGAATATTAAGTATTAATCATACTTTAATATACTGTTATTTCCTATTAAATGTTTTTTGAATCTTAATATGGGCAATATCTTTATATGTGACCTACCGTAGCAAACACCATGGCATATTATTAAGGTAAAAGAGAGGGATTTATCAATTGATATGTGAGCAGATGTGAGATTTGTCTCCACAGAGATACACTGTCACATTAGTACCACTTAATATTAGAAGATTTCTGATTTTAAAAATGTTGGACAGAAGTTCAAAATTCTTTATTTGCACTTATACAACTCTGCATTTATAATGACCATTGTTTAAAGGGGGGAGGGAACCTTTCAAACACTTGAATATTTTCCGAAATATAGAAGACTAATTAAAAAAATTAAATTAATATTAAAGAATTACATTTAAATATGATTTACATTAAATGTGTGAATGTTAATGTTTTTGATATGGCAATTGTTGAATAAATTTTCATAGGCAAACATATTAAAAAGAACTGAGCAAGCTATTAAAATTCAGACAAAACTATTATCATTTAAAAAGCATCTTAAGTACTCAATGTAATTAACAATAACATTTCTGTCATAATTTAAAATTTAACAATTGCAAGAATATTATATTAATTACTAGCAATGTTTTCAGTTTTCCATATTCTTTGCATAAATCAAATATTTTTAAGACAGCAAATATATCATATATATTTGATTACATATCATATAGTCTACTCATAACTAATTATTTAAGCAAGTTATACCTCTACTTCATTCTCTTTATCTGCGTAAGATTTCCTTAACTCAGTAAGATCCCTAATTTAAAAAAAAAAAAAAAAAAAAAAAAAAAAAAAAAAAAAAAGAATATTATTAAAAGTGACAACATTCAAACAAAATCACAACAGTTAGAATCACATACTTGTATGTACTATCCAGTGACTTCTTTAAACTTAATTCTCTTTCTGAGCTATCTTCCAGGTTACTCTAAAAATTATTAAAAAATTGTATATATATATATATATATATATATATACATAATAAAGAAATTTAAAAAGCATGTATTTCAACACTCTCAGAAGCAAAAGGTTAAATAAATATGTGAAATGTTTAGATATACTAAAAACTAAGCCTTGCTTTCATTTACTATTCTGAATAATCAATGCAAATGCAACTGCCCAACGTCGCAAGTTCTGACAGTTTCGTTGGGAGAATCTTAAGTATTTTACAACAGCTGTGCTGGAGAATCATCCGAAATCCCAATATCAGTGATTCCCCAGCTAATTTCTTTACTGATCACTACATATGAGGAATCTCATAGATCTAGAAATGAAGTGGAATTCCTCATACTTGAATATAAAAAGGTGTTTAGAGTAGTCAGGCATAATAGTAACAAGTTGATGTTTGTTTTATAAATTGATTTTTTTTATTTATTTTATTATTATTTTTTTATTGATAACTTTATTGATTCTAATACCATCACATCACACAGACTCTTCGGAAATTTAAGAGGAAAAAACAATTTTCGGAGCCATAATGTAAATTATAAGGAAACTCAAACAGGATAACAGACATTTATTTTTCAATCATTACATACACATATTTAAAAAAAAAAATAGGGGAATCAAAATTATGAGTACATTCTTCCTACTAAAATACTATCCTATCACGTGATTCATGGCAGGCATTAAAATTCGCTGGTCTCTTCTGCCTCAGAATACTTACTTACTCTTTTGTTAAAGATAATGATAATAATAATGAGAGTGATACAAATGAAATTGTCCCTAAAGAACTTAGGCCAGTTAATGCTGTTGTAAATAATTAACTTAGAGCAGTTACAAGAAACTTCGGGCAATGTAATGAATGTTACATGTCTTTAGAATACACGAACAATAATGGTAATATTTAGTATGTTATATGCAGCAAAAATATACCAAATAGCCCTATGGCTCCAGCTAAAATAGAAAAGCTCTCCATTTGGAATCTGTTCATGGTGAGTTGAAGGGAAAAAATATTGAATTCAGTCGAATGTGTAACAAATTCTTAAAATTAAAAAGGTTTATGTTTCAAACCAAAAAAAGATACTACACATTTTTGGGCTAAGAAATGAGGAGAAGGGTTTTTAAAACAAAATTTCAAACTAAAAATTTGGTTATTTCATAGAAATCAACTGCTTAAAATTGCCTATTTAAGCAACATTTTTGACAAAGATAAATGAACTTAACTCTTCAGGGCAAAAACGTAAATGTATTTACTGCTCATGATAGAATGCTACCTTCCAGGAAAAGGCAAAATTTTTTATAATTTGTGCATGCTGCAACCATGTCGATTGCTTTCCAACAATAAACAGCTTTTCAGAACAGGAAGGCGTTGAAATAGGGTAGACATTTAGTGTAGAAACTAAGCAAAGTTTCTTTGAAATATTTTAATTGGTATTTTCTAAATGAATAGCATATTAAATTTCAGAATGAACTGTGGATTTAAAACCCACTTATTGTCAATGCACAACCTTTGACCAAGTTAGCAAACTATGAAACTTGCATTGAAATAACATATTTATCACTGGAAAAGAAATGACATTAATGTTGTAAGTGGAATTCTGGTATAGTTTAAGAGAAAAAAACACCCTCAGTTGTCACAAAAGGCTCTGTTTGCACTAAAAAAATTTTCATCGACATGTATGTGCAAAATGGTATTCCCAGATTATGTGTCAACAAAAAGTAAACATGACAACAGATTAGATGCAAAACCTAATAACTTTTAATCCATAAAGCTTAATATTAAATAAATCTGCTGTAATAAAAAGCAGTACCACTCATCTCATTGAAATTTATAAGTGTTGTTTCAATATGTTATTTTAAGAAATTTTTAGTTAATTTTGAAATTACACTTTGAGGCAAATAAGTATTATTTGACATAATTGTCATTTTTGTTGCAAATAACAAAATTACAGAATGCTGCAGTAAATCATATTACTGAAGCAAACAAGGAGTTTCATGATAAAAGTGGACATTTGAAAGAGTTCTACACATAAAAAAGATTAAGAAACACTGATCTAGAAGTAAAATGTATGAATTCACTTCCACTATTACATAGAATGTATTGTTAAGTGCCTATGGGCTCATAATAGATTGAATGCCCACATAGCTGATGATAGCTCAATAAAATTAATTTTACCAGAAGAAACAATTCACAGTTCTAGAACTTTCCACAAAAACAGTCATACAACTCTTCCCTGTATCACAGAGTACAATCAGTAGTAACTCTTCAAACTACTATGAACATTAAACACAATGCTACACTTCAAACTAATAAGAACATTAAACACAATGCAATGCAAAGCACATCTAAAGAGTGAAGCTAACCTAGAGGTATCTCAGTACTGCAAACTCACACTAAACCAACAACTATGACAACAACTCAGAAATTGATGCTATCTCTTGTCTTATACAGTTTATATCTGGCAACTAAGATATTTTTAGTAATTTCTGCTTCTCAAAATTACTGAAAGACATATGAGGGACAAATACGGTTACAGTTACACAGACCATTAATTACAATACTTATTAAGGCAATACAAGGACTAGACCAAAATGTCGGCAAATGTGGCGACTTATCGCGAGAAAAGTTAGTCGCAAACTCATCACGAGTTTAATGATATCTGGGCAGTTTAGTGAGATAGCCATTTACTCATTGTTAAACAAAATACCACCATTTCATATATAATTTCACTAAAATCATCTGTCTATGTATAAAATTCATAACATTGCCCCCCTTTCCCAAGGACTGCATGTCCCAAGCAGTACAGCAAGCAGGACAGGAAACCATACTCACCACTAAGGCAAATCAATGCAATACTTAATCATGATAAATGACATAACACAATTAAAATGCTAAATCAACATATAAATGCATAAATTTATAAATTTATATACAAATATGACCATAGTCTTCGTAAGCTATTCACATTAATACACTAAAAGAACCATGTACCATAGCCATAGTAAGGGGATAGCCTGTCATAATGGAAGTCTTCAGGCTTAGAATTTGATGACTTGAGGATTCGAACTATGACATCATTCTGCCTGTTTAGGACTATGTAAGATATGTACTTTGGTGACTTTAGTTTCCGTGAGAATCCCTTCCATTGAACCAGATTCCATAATCACATATTGTTCTTGAATTGATGTTCCATAGCTCTTGTGTCATATCGGATTTTATTCTTCTGTCACCAAGATGACTCATTCTCATGCAGCTTACATAGATGTTAATGCCTCCAGAATATCATCAATTCTAGGAAGAAGATAGCTGCCTTTTTTTGTAACTTCATTAAACGAATGATAGTCAATGCAAAATTTCGTTGCACTATCTTTCTTTCTGATCAGGATGATGGGAGAGGCCCAAGGACTTGTGGAAGGTTCAATAGCGTTGCTTTCTTGTATGTCCTTTAGAAGTTTTTGTACCCTTCCCTGTTTAGCAATCAGGAAACATATTGGATGTTGCTTGATTGGAAGATGATCCTCAGAATCAATTCTATGCTGTGTGAGACTGGTTCAACCTACATCTGAAGATGAACAAGAGAAAACTTCTTAAAATAATTCTTGAATGACACTTTAAGCAGCACTCCTCTCTTCATTACTTAGTAGTGCATTCTGTAGTAACTCCAACATTAGGATCTCCAAAAGACACAGAGACTGGCAGACTATTGAGTTGTTTAACATGGCTGGTCACTGAAGTACATGCTGCAACTACTTTGCTTTCCCTACAGATTTTCGCTTTATCATTCACGCTGGCAACTCTCACCAGGATGACAGTCCTTGATAAGTCAACGAGCATTAAAGCTGTTAGTACTCCTTGCAAGACGTTACAGGGATATTCTATTATACTGTACCAGAAATTTCTATTTTTGGCTATGGAACCAGGAAGGAAAAATTCTGTTCTTGCTGGCACTATATCATCATTTTGAGTTATAATTTGGTGGACAGATTCAACTACTTCATCAATAATTTCAAATAAAATTATGTCCTCAGAAGCAGAATGCAGTTCATTATTTTTAAAATACAAAATAAAATTGTATTTCCATAGAAAGTCTTGTCCGAGTATGCAAAAGTCTATAATATTTGCTACATATGCCATGTGATGGTAGGCGTCACTTCCAAATGTGATGTTAACGTTTAATTTTCTTCAATGTAAATTTTATTCCCTGACTCAGTCTGAAGGGTAATACACGGTGGTGTCCAGATGAGTCTAACTTCCAACTGTTGAGCCAAAATGTTTTGGATGATGGTAACATTGGCTCCAGTACCTATGGTCTTACTGCAAAGAACTCCATTGATACGTCTTATGATGAAGAGTTCCTTACTGCTGCCACTTATTGCAGAAATCTGAAGCAATTTAAGATGGGGTTCCTATTATCTGGCACCCTCTGCTCTGCGAGATGGCTACTTATTTGTTTTATACGTCCTTGCTGAAGAACGGTCTTATTTTCCATGCGTTGGGATGTTCTGCAGTTTCTTTGTATATGGCTTTCACCACCGCATTCCAGCACTTCAGGGTTGGTCTCTTGTGACTCCTATTTCTTCTCAAGGCATTGACCTATCTGGTTAAATTGTCTAGACGAGTAGTCACTTGATCCACTGGCTCTTGGACTTGAGCAGTTCTGATTGGGTGGCAAGTTGCATGCTGGGCTGCCTTGAATTTCATGGCATACACTAAAGCTCTTTTTTAATCCTTGACATTCACCATTCTCAGGCCTTTGTGTATCTCTGGATCCTGGATGCCACCAATGAAGTACTGCAGGAATAGCATTTCCCTTGTTAGGCAGTCCAAAAAAGCAAGATGATATAACTTTTCAACATCCACGAAGAGCTCCTCGAATGTCTCCGTAGGTTTCTGTTGGTGAGATTTCAACTGAAGACTGCTATAATCTTTTAAACATTTTTCCTCAAACTGCAGCTCCAAGGTGCCAGACACAGCTTCAAAGCCTAGCCTCTGGCTTCTTGGAAACGTTTGAAGAATATCTCCTATCTCTGCTCTCAATGAAACAACAAGATGGCAGGCTTAAGCTTAATCCCATTCATTTGCCACTACAGAGAACAGCATCTTGTACACTTGCCAGGTGGATAGCGTTTGGATATGGCCAGTAGGACATATATTTGAATTTAAAGGCATTAGAATTGGGACTAGCTGTCGTTAAACTACCTTGGCAACAGTAGCAGAAACTCTGTCATCAATTTATTGTCGATTTTTTGTCAGATGGAAGAAACTTTTTTTTTCAGTTTGTTGTTCCAGAGAAGAAACTCTTTCTTGAATTTCTCCAAGTTTGTCTTCAACAATGTCTATTTTGCTTTCCACAGAACCAAATTTGTTTTCTATTATGGCAGTAATTTCTCTTTTCGTTTCCTCTTGAACAGCTGTAATCACTTCTTGGCCCAATTAATCTCTTCTTTAACAGATTCTTGTCCTGCCCTCACCTCATCTTTGAAGGCAGCAAAGGCTGCCAATAGCTGTCTTAATTGCTCATACATCGCTCTTATCCCTAGCATTCAATCCCATTGTTGACATAAAAAACTGCTGTGTGCATACGAGTTTGTAACAGATTGAATGCACAAAGAACTGATGATATCTTGATAAAATTTGTTTTACCAGAAGAAACACTTCACAGTTCTGAAACTTTGCACAAAAATAGGAATAAATCTTCTTGCCTGTACCACAGCGTACAAACAGTAATTTCACTACAAACTACTAAACAAGCTAACATGGACATACCTGAGTACTTTAAAACTCAGGCTGAACTTACAACTACTACAACAACTCAGAAACTGATACTCTCTCTCGTCTTACATAGTTTTCAACCGGCCCTGAGATATGAGTGTTTTCTGTTTCTCGAAATTAATAGAGAGCCCAATACGGTTACAGTTACACAGAGCATCAATTATAGTTATTCAATTACAATACTTATTATGGTAAAACAGGAACCAAACCAAAATGTTGCCAAGTTTTTGATAAAAATTAGTTGTCAAAACCATCACCAACTTGCCAACATCTCGCCAATTTAGCGAGATAGCCATTTGCTCAAACAAACTAGATTTAAATTGAATGCCAAATTAAATATATTCAGACATTTTAAAATAGCTTACATGCAGAAAAAAATGAATGTGCAATTTGTGCTTGGAAACAGATTTTGAATATATATTAATTAAAATAGAAATTGCATTACCTGTAAAATAGAAACTTCCTTTTCAAGCTTCTTCACCGTATTTGTTAGCTGTCGGATAGCATCTAGAATTAAAATTAATCTATTACATAATGTATTATTAACAAGAAATATTTACATGCAACAGCTTCTTGTTTTAAATTAATTACCAAATATTTAATATTGCTTACTACAGGTAACAATGCATAGTACTTACATATCAGCACAACACAAATAACAATTCTATAGTTTGAAAAATCAATGTTTTGAGTTTGTCCAATGAGTTGTGTTTGCTGTATTCCAAGTACCAATGGCTTCTACACACAAATTTCATATCTTTCATTTTTAACTCAATTTTAAAACATATACTTGTGAGATTTGTCTGTGGTGAAAGTATAATGCAATAAAAGGTTTGCAGGAATGATGCCACAAAATCACTAAAGGGAACAATTGTTTTAAATCTTTTCTAAAAGCAATAATCACAAATTTTATCAAAAAGTTTGCTCAACGACAGGGATCTTAATATCAGCAGCAATTCTGTGTAAACTGACACCATCTATTAGACGATACAGTCCACAAACCAAAACTTTTTACTCACAACTTAAATTCTTCTTATTCTAAATGTTATTTTGGGATACTTTTATTTTAAATTCCATCATACTTTTGCAATTTTATTGTTTTATGTATCATATTTCTTTTCACCTGTGAGCACAGGAATTGAGATAAAAACTAGTTCAGATGGAAAAAATTTCAAATAATTTAATAAATATATAATCTAATACCTCTAATTATTAGAGTGACTCTCACGGTCATTAAAAAGGTGGTGCAAATAAAAAAAATTTTTTTTCAAGATCACTTTCTTATTTGAGAGGATGATTTATTGCTGTGAGTGCAATTTTCCCATGCTCCATATTTTTCAATATAAAGCATAACCACTAATATTTTTTAAAACATTCTGTATGCAAAAAAATAAATATTTATGATCACATGTATTTACTTCTAGGCAATAGAAATGTCCCAAAAGAATGTGAATAAAAATTACAGAAAAAGTTAAATGTAATAAAATAGATACAAATGTGCCACTTGATAGAAAATCACTAATCCTTTTAAATTTAAATATTAAAACAGATTTTTCTAATACCTAAAAATTTCTTTTTCATGTAATTTTTATGAATATTTAACTTCCGATAAAACATATACTCTTCCTATATACAAGAATTTAACAAAGGCATGTATGTGCATACGATTTAAAAATTAAGGCTATTTCCATTATTTGATAATTGGTCTGACATCAGCAAAATAGAGTAAATACAGAAAATACAGTTAAAAAGTTATCAGCTAAATTCAGATATATTGATCACACAGATTCTGTACATAATATTCAAAAACTGATTGGGAAAACTAAATGTGGATAGTAAATTTTTTTTCCCATCTCTTCATTTCAGCAATTTAATTTCCTACCTTTTAATGCAAGTATCAGAAATTACAATTTTTGTGGATTATTACATTACTAGAAGTATAAGAAAATACATAATCTGCAAATCAAAAATTAAAAAAAAATACACTTGTCATGATAAGTTTGTAGTTATAAACAATTACAAAAAAATTAACAATTTTACTCACTGTCAAGTTTCAGTTGAAAGTAAACTGACACACTTGCAACATGAAATGCCAAAATAAATTTTAAAAACTGCTCTTTTATTAAGGAGAAATACCTCTTCATACATATACATAAGATTAAAAAAAATGTAAAGCAAAATTCTAACTTTAATCTGTAATAGTCTGTGGGATTTCCAATTTAATTTGTATATCCCTTTCTGCCCTAAAAATAGAAATTGCTTAAAATAAATCACTCTAAAATGCATCACTTCAAAATTAACCCATCCATATGATTATTGCATAATGCTAATGAGGCAGGGACTTACATAAATGCTTCAGCAGATAATATTTCAAATTTGGGAACTGATACTTTTTGTTAGCCAACAGGGATTAAATGTGAACCATATCATTTTGAACCAAGCTTTTATCTTAGACATGTAGTATTTACTCCCTGCTTTTCTAGTTAGCCAGATGACTGTCACTGCTTCTCTTCTTATTGCAACGTCTTAAGAGCTGTAAACTTCATTCAAGTATGGGTTGCTTAGAACAAATTTAACAGTGATGCATCACAAGTATTTCTCAATGAGAATAAATACATATTAAAATCAGCCATGGCTACAACTATTTCTTTATGCATAAACTTCTAAAGCACTACATAGATGTATATAATATTTAAATCAAAACTATGAAACATCAAATATAAATCAAAAATATGATACTCATGCAGTGTAAACTATACTAGAATTACATCAAAAGATCAAAATTTACTGAACTGCAAATTGATGGGAAATTACATAAATATTCTGTTTGTTTCCTCAAATAAAAATAATATTTATCGTTGCTATTAGATGAAATGAAGCAGAATCCCCCCCCCAAAAAAACTGTTTCTTCAAATGCTCAAAATACAGATACTCTGACAATCTGATTACATCTTCAGTAACTGTAATAGACAGTGAACTAGAAATCCGGCTGCCATCAGGGTTCGTACACATTTCTGAACACGGAAATTAAGTACTTTTAAGGACCATTAATGAAAAAAATTAAGGACCTATGAGCAAATGGGAACTGAATAAATTCAATTAAAAATATGATCTATGCCCGAATTTCACTTTTGTAATACAATCCTAAAAATAAAATAGATTCCTAAGTAGTATGCATTATTACTAAACATGAATTAATTAACATCATACATATTAAAATCAGCCATGGCTGCAACTATTTCTTTATGCATCAACTTCTAAAGCACTACATAGATGTATATAATATTTAAATCAAAACTATGAAACATCAAATATAAATCATCAATTATTAATAAGTTTGAGAATAAAATAAACTTTAAGTCATTATCAAATAGCATTAAATATTTTACACTTATAATAGTTGAACATATTTGAAAGAAGGTAAGTGACATTTATGTTTTACTAACTGTTAGCTTTATGTTCATTTTTTTTTTTTTTTTTTTTTGTGTGTGTGTGTGTGGCTTATTTTGTCACATACTTGGCCAGTCTAGAGGTAAACAGCCCGTAGATTTTATGTCAAACGGCACAGGTTAAAATGAGAAGTAAGATCAAAATCAGCATGATTCATAACAAAAGACTGAATGTTTTCACCGCTACTGCTTGCCTAAAGAGAGACCTGCTAATTAGAACAAACCTGAAAGGCCTGATCTAGGCACGGTTGGCAAGTGTTGAAAGTTAGTCAGGCTCTGTTTGATGCAATTAGTGTCGTAGGTTCATGTAGAGTTCCAGGAGCTGTAAAACCTAGTAATATACTTAAGGTTCAAAAGCCTCTAAAGCACCAGAGATGATAAAATATTCTGTATTATTTTAAGTATCACTAGATAAAAAAAGAATAGTTTTCACATGAATTCTTACATTTTTCTGTATTTTATCTTGTGACCACAGTAAGGATTAAGAAAGCGCAATAACTCTAATATACAGAGATAATTTTTAAAGGTAAGCATTTAGTTATAATATAATTAAATTAGGTAGTTAGATAACCTTCGTCATTATGGATTTGCATGATCACTATAAAATTTTCTTTCAAGCCATATTAAAAAAGGTTTTTTGCCCTTTTAAAATCAAAATCTAATAAAATTTTCACAGTTTAAAATATATGTAAATTATGACATTGATTGTTAAGCAATATTAGGATAATTACACATTAAACGCTACAAAACATTTATGTTTTGTAACAACAACACTCAGCAAAATATTTATCCGTCATTTTAATTTGAAGCTTTCCCAAACATTTTGGCTAATTTATATCGATTTCCTTCTCTTTAAGCTTTTTCTCTAACAATTAGAGATTTGTCTCAATATGCAAACCAATGCTCTCGCTAATTCCCACATTCTTTATCTCCTAATTTGTCAACCTCTCCACAATGTACCTACCTACGAGGCTTTACTTGATCTGATAAAAGTTAAATAGTCCACCCACCCCCTGACAGTCATGAAACAAATTACCGCTATGCCTGAAAGTAACTATAAATCAGAGGTTTAAATAAGCTTCTTATTTAAAAAGAACTTAGAATATAAAGCCATGTTCTTATGCTAACAAAATCAATTACAGCTCACAGTGATGTAATTAAACAAGAACAGTCAAACTAAAAATGTGGACTAGTGGTAAAAGATTATACAATTTAGTTTTAATTTAATCTGGTTCAGTAACTCTATCATATGAGGAAATAGAAATGGCAAATTATAGTAAAGGCTGAAATTGTAAACAATTGGGTAATTTACATAACAATAACTGCACATATCTTTGAAGAATAATTTTCTTTATGTAACCAGTTTCTTTCTTCAACACGTTTCCTTTTCATTTTAGAATTTTGAGATTTAATTAAGGATTTCTGTTATTCTAAAAAACACTAAATGCATTTAGATTGTATAGAAAAAGCGGCTAATTTTATTTTTTTTAGTAATATGAACGTTTAGAAGAAATATGAAATATATATGGTAAAGGACAGTTACAAAGCTGATGTGGCAGAATTTCTAGAATTTAGTGACACACTGAACAACAAAATCTAGAATGGCAAAACTTTTAGAATTTAGAGCAGGGATTGGAAGCAGAATTTAGAAAGGCACTAGCCAGCAGAATTTAGGATCCACAGAGATTGCATCAGGTGGGAAAATGCCTAATGCCAGATATGAATATTAAGACATATTAGATGAGTCTTTTAAATTGTAAGTTTTCAATTTATTTATCAATTAAAAAAATCCCTTTCGATAATGCCTGCCCACGTGATAAGATTAGAAGCATTTTTGATATTTTCCATGCTTGAGTCTAGTGAAAAGTAGATAAAATAAAGGGAAAATAAACATGTTAAGCTTCTAGTATCAGAAGTAAAACATTCAAATATTATGCTTTCATTGTTCTTCCAGACGTTCTCCAAAAAGTAAAAAATTCACTGCAAACTTTCTGTAAAATACATCTATTATGTGTTGCTACCATGGAGATGCATTTCATTTTGTCACATATTTCTTGAATCTTCTAGAATCGGTCTATAAATCTTGCCTTCAAATACCTTCTAAAATTTCCAAGCTGCAATGTTTAAAATCATAAAGAAAAATTATCCCTACCATTTCTATAACAGAAATATTTTGGGAAAAAAAAAAGGAGGGGAAAAGGTCTACGCGGACATTCTTCGCGAAATAAAAAAGTAGCATGTAAGCATGTTCTCAGAATATGCATCAGTTTTCTCTATAAAATTCTGAGAATTTTAAATATTCTGAGACAATTACATGGGAAAAACTCTAATTACGAAAAAATTAAAAACAAGACATTTAAAATTAATTATATAGCTAATTTTGCTTTTGCTAAGAGCTGTTTCGTAAATTGAGCTTTATAGCATTACACCTTGTTTATTTTTCAGATATAAAATATTGTATAATAAGTTGCCAAAATGAAACTTTATAATATGACAGCGGAAAAATAAAAATGTTTTATTTTAATATTATTTTTAAAATATAATTTCAATATATTACATAATTTTAATGAAATTTGTGAATGTTACGACGTTTAAAAAAAATTGTCGAACATATCTCAAATCTCGGAATTAAAAATTTTCTATAGATATTAAAATCGCCGAAATGTTGATACATCACCAAATTTAGAACCGCTTAATAAAAGAATTTACATCCCTAAAAGTGAAAAGTTGTTTAAAAGCTCTTTATTAGAAAAAATTAATTTCTAAATGCTTATGTTTCACTTCTTGCTTAGAAACTCGAGTATCCCATCATTTATATTAGAAATAGAAACAAATTATAACCCATGAACCCATTCAAAAGATAACCATATATGTCAGTGAATTGTCCAAAATATTCCTCCAAAATGCTAATTCACACTCAAAATGGCAGTTGTAAAAACAGACAGAAATTTCAAATGATTAAAATTAAGGACCTTCTGCGGAGTTTGGCCAAAATTAAGGACTTTTAAGGGCCAAAAATTGATTCCAAAAATCTAAGCACTTTTAAGGACTGTACGCACACTGTGCCATGATATGACTAAGAGCATATGCTTGTACTGATGATAATTTAATGTAGCTGAAATATGTATATTTAAATGTTATTACTCTTATATGCAGTACATATTGTTATGGAATATTTGTTTGTGTTCAATGGAATATATTGTTATGTTTAAATTCAGCATGCAGTTACATTCCATTTGACTACACCAACTATATATAGTGTAGTCTTGGTTATCTGAGCTAATGCAGGGAAAGCAGGTCATGGATAATTGAAAAATAAGGATAATCCAAACTATCAATTTTCATGCATATTTTATGGATTTATATCTTTAAAAAAAATAATAATTTTACTTTTTATTGAGAATATTTTAAATATTTGGCAAATTTCACTGTGTATTTTTCAAAGTGCTATTTTATCATTGTTATCAAATCCCCTTTGTCAACAAAGTCCAATAAGAGTTTCAACAGAAGTCCTTGCTGTCTCAGGACTAATGTAATTGTCAGTATTTTCTTTGCTTGTTTCTTCAGTATCACTTTCTACCTCTTCAGTTCTTGTGACAATACTATGAAAAGTTTTCATGCCAATTCCATATTCTTTGGCAAGTTTTGTTGTCGATTTGCCATGTTCAAACCTTTTGATTATGGTACAACTTTCTAACACTTAGTACTGTAGCATGTTCATTATTCATTTTTTAGTTCAAAAATATTAAATCAATTTTTAAAAGAATATAAGAAAATATTCATGAAAATACATAGCAAGCAGGGGGAAAAATAAAACAGTGATCAAATCAAATTATGCCTTCAACTATGCAGAAGCAGAGCAAAATGTATGAGATAATCATTGAAACTAAAAGACGCAACTAAACAGTCACACTTTTGTACACAAAGTTGAGTGTGAGTGCATGTGCACTGATATGCATGGGTAATCCTCACTTGAATAATTGAGAGTACATTGTATATGCACATATATAAAACAGCCGGTCATTAAAAGAGAATAAACTTAACAGACAGAAGCAGAAAATCTGCAAAAGAGCAGTATTTTACAATTTACAAATCATCCTTTAAAAATAGCCGTAAAGGAAGTATTACAGTCAAAAGTCAATAATCCGGACACCCATAATCCGGAATGATCTATAATCCGGACCTCAAAGCTACAAACTTTCTGCGCATGCGTCAACGCATGCGCATAATACGTTTACACATGCACGTTTAATGTATAATGGATGGTATAAGCTAAGCTAAAATTATCTAATTATCTATTTCAGTTAATGTTGCAGATTGCGTTGTTCCTTAATCTTCAAATTGGATCAGGCTTATTATTTTTTGCAGACTGTTAGAGCAATTTTATAAAAGTAAGCTTGAACTTTCAATTATGTCAAATAGAATTTCCAATGCTGGAGCTGCCAAAGGATCTACAAAGAGAAAGCATGTTTCAATATCCATCAAACAAAAAGTGGAATTGCTGCAAAAAATGGATAAAGGCTCCTTTGTTTCTCTAACCAGTCCGAAATCTGTTTATCAATTTCCCGCTGCTCTGCGTGGGCGGGGGGGGGGACGTCACGGTGCACGCAATGAACTGGAAGTTGATCTATCAACAGCTCTATAATTATCTTCAGGAGCAGATGTTTTTTATTTTATTTCGGGTTATAATTCCTTACTAAATGTTGTACATTTCATCTCGATGTATTACTCTGTCTTTGATATGATTTAAATCAAACTCCTTCGTCATTATAAATATCACGAATACACATCAAATAGTTTTCTGGTTGCAATTTCTAATTTCGACTATGCGTAATGTATGCTTTACGCGTGCGCGCGTAGAAAGAAATGTTTAATAAAGTAAACAAATAAATATTAAGCTTTTTTTTTTTGTAAATTTTAATACCCTTTAGATCATAATTGCTCTTTATTTCATAAATTATGGTTTCATAGTTTTAATTTTATAATTTCTGCATGCCATCTTACCAGATTTAAACTGATGATCTATAATACGGAAAAATCGATAATCCGGAATTGCCGAAGTCCCGACGAGTCCGGATTAAAGACTTTTGACTGTATTATCATGTAAAAGAAGAATAGAAATCCTTTAAGCACAACAATATTCCCCACAACCTTTTCCAAACTACATGGCTCACTTATAGCACAGAAAAAGCTTTTTATTCTCACTATCAGCATCTCTTTTATGATGGGGTTTTGACATTCCATCATAAAACTGTTTGCTAATTATCATTATTCAATAAAATAGGCATTTGCATCATGAAATTAACATTAGAAGTATTAACAGAATATTCTGTTAAGTTGGCCAACAGTAGCATGAATGCCTGAATGAAAGGTTATGCAAAAATGCTCAGGCTTGGAAATGGCAATTTATGCAATAAATAAAAGTCTGGTAAAAATTAATTTGTCATCAATTCTTGCAAATAGCCTATAATAATTGAGAAATTTAATTACAACATAATACTAAATAAAATTTATAAACATCTTTAAAAAGGATTTTTTTTAATATACTAAAGCAAATTAATATAACTATGCCTCAATTTTAAGAAATCGCCTTCAGTGATATTACCAATGTGCTTTTTTTCTTGTTCTTCTTTTGCACCAATGGATTTTCTTAGCCTTTCAACTTCTTTTGTATTTTCTTCAACCTTTTCACTGGTGAAAACATTTTCATTAATACATAAGTTAATAAATAGATTTAAATCTCAACATCAGTAGTGGAAGAATTTCTACATACGCTTGTGACTTAATTGTCTTTTCCATTTCTTCCTCTTTAGCCCTCAGTTTTTTTATTAGAGTGGACTGTTGAAGCTCCTTTTTTGATAATTTTTTCCCTATAAATAAATTTAAAACATTTATACACAGCTCAGCCTTAAAAGTATTTACATTAGCAAAAACAATGCATAATATACAATACTGTATAAAATTCTGACATAATTACATAACTGAAAATGCATGACAACTTAAAAAACTTCAATCTAAAATCAGCAAATTAAATTAATTCTTGCAAATATTTTTACCTTCTTCTGTAAGTTCCATTATTTGTTGGTCTTTTTCTTTTATTACTTCTTCAATATCTGCAGCTGAAATTCTTTAAAAGAAAAAATCAAATTACTTTAGAAATTAATGTTGATTACCACTAACATTATAATAACATAAAAATACAAAACCTTCTAGCAATTTCAATTTTAGCTTCTTCAAGTTGAATGTGAAGACTGTCTCTCTCCTGCAAAACAAATATGCCATAACAAACAAGCCATCATATTTAGTTTGAGGAATCTACCAAAAAATTAACTAAAAGTAAGCTCTTTAAGAGATATATTCAATAGGCAACAAATATAAGAATAGCTTATATATCAAAAACACATTAAAGGATTTCTTTTAAATACATTCATCCAACAACTGGTTCTTTCTGCATTTGAATGTGTATACATGATAAGTCCAGTGTAGTTTAAACATGGGAAAATATGAAACATTACCTCCCTAAAATTTTCCTACATATACAAAAACCTTTTTAAGAAACTAATAGATTTCCAAAGATACCACACAACAATCTCCAATAATAAAATTTTAATTATGGCTAATTAAATTTTAGTAGGATGACTCAGAATCAGAAGGTTTCATTAAAGCATTTAAAATGTAATACAACTGAAAGCAGTTTATTCATAACAAAAACAAAACGAAAATATTAACATACAGCATTCAAATATAATAGTTATGGTCTCTGTATAAATTTACACATTCTACAATTTATCAAGGTTTCCAACAAGGCTCCTATGATTTATCACGGTTATCAAGGTTTCCAAGATGATACATAAGCAAGTGGCCTGTCTGCTTGTTACTAGCATCCACTATTGTGATTCTTTGTTAAAGAAAATATATCTTACTGAGATCCTTCACATAGTTTTTATATCTGCATCTTCATGGCTTTTGTACTGATAATGAAATATTTTATAAGTCATAATAACGAAGCAAGCATGGCCAGCTAACACCTGTCTGTACTTGCATATATGCTGTATTTTCATTATATGCTCTTCTTAAATTCCTTTCATATTCAGTCTTCTCTTACTGTTACAAAAACAACAATTGTGTATAGTTCCATGAATGTATTACATGATCTGGTTACAGCCGAAAATGTCGCCAAGAAAACATCGCAAGGTGAAAACATAATGGTACAAAACATCGTCGGAGAATATAAAGCAAAGAGAAAATACCGCAGTTCTAAAACATTACGGTACAAAATATCGGCATAAAAAATAAAGCAGTTAAAAAACTTCACAGTTTAAAAATATCGTGGTAAAAAATATAGTACCTACAAATCATTACATGACGATAACATCGCTGACATGTGTTTTTAAGGCTTTAATAATTGTAAATGGATATTCACATAAGGATTTGTGAGCAAGATGGAAAGAAGGATAATTTTTCACATTCATATTTTTTATTAACTAATAATTTGAATAAAAGAAGAAATAATTTTCACTATAAGAGTATCAGATTAACAAAAGTGAAGACAATAATCTCATAATTAGCAATTTTTTTATAGATAAAGTCATGCAGTTACTTAAAGTTGCAAGTTTTTAAAATGCTTTATTTTCAACGACGATGTTTTGTGCTGTCAACATTTTGTCTTTGCTTTCTTTCTCCCACGATGTTTTGTACCACAACATTTTTGCCTTGCATTGTTTTCTCCACGACGTATTCATCCGTGATGTTTTCGGCAGACACCCATGATCTAGTAATTAATAGTCTTAAGAATTAAGAGTACTCTTTGCACACCAGTTTCAAAAAAACAAAAACTGATTTTACACCAATTTATCATTCAACAATAATCCTACCTTATTAGCATCTTGTAGCTGTTTTTCAACTAATGCAAGCCTTAGTGTAAATTCTTTTGTTAAAGCAGCTATATCTTTAGACTCTTTGGTTTGCTCTATTCTCATCTTTTGTACTAAACTAAAGGGGAAAAATGTGCCCATTATTAAACTTTTCTAAAAACAAAAATAAAATTAAAAAAAATATATCCAAGTCCTAAATTAAAGACAAAAATTCAGTTCCTAAATTACAGTAAGAACCTGACTATCTGTAAAGCTCGGGAAATGCCAAATTCTGGATATGTGAAAATTCCAGATAGTTGAGTATACAGAAACTGGGATTCATGTTAGAAAAGCCAAAACAATGCAGAAAATTTCCACTTTAAAATTATTAAAACAATCATCTTATTTGTTATCAACTTGAACATCAAAAGCCTCTTAAAACTATATAAGAATTTGAAAAAATAAAATCAGTTATAAAAGATGACATATTTCCATTAATATTAAATCCTACCAAACATGAAAGTTGTGGCAGATGTCACCAATAATTCTGGTAGAAATTTAAATGAACAAAATATGGAACTGCCATTGTTTATCCATTTTCAAAGTCACATACCCTGGTCTTTTTTGATGCCCAAATTCTGTACCTTGAAAAAAAAAAAAAAAAAAAAAAAAAAAAAAAAAAAAAAAAAAAAAATAAAAAAAAAAAAAAAAAAAAAAAAAAATAAAAAAAAAAAAAAAAAAAAAAAAAAAAAAAAAAAAAAAAAAAAAAAAAAAAAAAAACAAAAAAAAAAAAAAAAAAAAAAAAAAAAAAAAAAAAAAAAAAAAAAAAAACAAAAAAAAAAAAAAAAAAAAAAAAAAAAAAAAAAAAAAAAAAAAAAAAAAAAAACTGCACACCATGCAGTCCCAAATACTATACATATTTTCAAAATATAAGGAAAAAATAAAACTTATATCCTTCTTTACTAAAATTAAACCAGCTTATTAAGAACTAATACAATTTACATTAAACCAAAATTAATTTCTTATGACTGCTGTGATGTCACCCTTATCACTTATTGGCACTAAACCACACTATCTGGCAACATTGTATACATCTTAATAGTAATATAAGCTCGATAACAGCATTACAAATCCCTTATTTACAAAATTTTTGGGCAAGAAAATTTTTTCCGAAATTCTAAAATATTCCAGTTAATTGAGCTTTCTGGTTAGTTGAATACCGAATAGTCAAGTTCTTAATCTAATTATAAATTAAATCTTATTTTAAATTGGTTCAAATTGTGTAGTTATGCACTTTTAGCATTCTTGTAGTTTATGCACTTTTAGAATGAATTCACAGCTTTATACCAGCTAACCAACAAGTACCCAAACATTCATCACCTGCTCATATGGTAAAATTTTCCTGAATGTATGATATGCACATCTATACATCTGTATAACGTCTCCATTATTTAAATAATATCACAAGGTAACTAACTATACTCAGAATTTATCTCGTGATAGGTGCACTATTATTAACTGTGGTTATGACTGCTGGATATTTGGCAATGGTTTCCAAAAGATCTGGATTACAGTTAATTGTTAAAGGTTTCTGTTTTTTAAAAGTCTATTAACAAGAAGATTTTTGCTGTTGTTTAAATAAAGGTGGTCAAAATAATAAGGAAGTACCAGTATATCTCTTAACATTGTTATTTTAATAAACAAAACAACATATTTAAAAAATTTTTACTGATGACATTTACTTTAAAAGCATGAATATTATTATAAAAACAAAGAAAAATACATTTAATTTAATGATGGCCAATAGGGTCACTTAATGTTAACAATTAAACACTAGCCCACTTAAATATTTTTTTAAAAAAAAGATGCATGTTATTCTATAATAGAAAATATCTAGAAAAGATCTGATAAGTCTACTTAGTTTTTAATTAGAAATGATAATACCACAGTTTCATAATGCTCTTAAATCACAGAATAAGAAAATTTCAGTTCAGAAAAGTAAAACTATAAACCTTGGATTTAAAACTGCTTACAAGTGCCTTTTTTAACAAATTATTAAATTTATTTTCCAGTTAAAAGAGAGAAATTACAGCCAAATAATTCTTTTGGACCAATTTAGACTCTTTGCATCAAAATCATTCTGAAAACAGATTCTGTAAAAACAAATTATTAGTCTCCATATAAATATATGAAAAATTCAACCCTAAAAAAATTATACTTTTTAAGCCTTTGTTCATTTTCTTGCAGTTCAATAATTTCTTTGTTTAATTCATCTATTTTCTTTTCCTTTTCCTGCAATACCTGTTGAAGCCTCTAAAATAAATTTAAAGAAAATTCAATAAAATTCCTTTCCAGATAGTAACTTAATTGACACAACAACATAAAACAAAATTATACAAAAGAACTTTAATTTGTTTTACACATTTTTAAGATGAAATGAAAAAAGTATATTACAAAATACAAAAATCATACTTTGACAGGAGTTTTTAATGTGACATATGCAGAAATGAAAGATAAGGTTAGGGAACCCACTGTTTTGCTTAACCTGTTTTTACAAAAAGTACAATAAAAAGATTTCATAAGGTTACACTCTCCCTTATCACAAAAGTTTAGACTTACAATGTTAAGTTCCTTTTTAACTTTTAGACAGAGGTGATTGCAATCCCATTTCAGAAATCTTGAAAAATATTGTGTGATAAAAAGTCCAGAAAAACACACTTGCATACTTACATATTTTCAAACTACTTCACTAACAAAGCAAAAAGTAAACTTTTTCCCCCTTTTATTAAAACTATGTTTCACCACACTAATTCACAAAGTTACCTATCTATTTGAATTCTCAACATTTCTAAAAAGTAACTGCTAAGCTAAGCTTGCTTTTCCTGAAGGGTGATTACTTTCTGGGTTTATATTTTTCTTTACTAACAACTGAAAATTCAGTATGATCTGAACAGCATTTTGATGCCTTTCTGGGTTTATATTTTTCTTTGCTAGCAACTGGAAATTCAGTATGATCTGAACAGCATTTTGATGCAAACAATGGCTTTATCAGAAGCTGCTAGAAAGAGCTGAATGGTTTGAGTAATATAAAGAATAAACTGTCCAGGTATGCAATAAATTATCCCTAAATTTTTATTAATAGTTATCATATGGATTCTGAACCAAAAATTTTACATGCAGTTTTGTATAATGAGAATAGATAACATTTCAGTTTGTACAGCATCTAAGCTATTATTGTTCAAATTGTGAATACTGGATATTTCTGTTTTCCATTTTTCAGTCTAAATACTTCATCCCAATTTTACAATATATCAGTTTTTTATCTTTTTCTGTATACGACAAATAGCAAAATAAGTCTTTTGTATAAGACATACTTAGTTTGCTTTAGCAAGTTTGACCTCTCATTGAACTTTACACAATCTAAAAGTTTTTGAATCTGAAATGATATATTTGTTCTGAAACAAAATATGAAAAATTCTGATTTTGAGATTTGAGAACTGATTGTAGAGTATATATTTCTCAAATCTAAAAAGTCCAGTTTTGAGAAAACAAAAAATCTGGGATTCCGTCTATATCTGCTCATAATCATCACTGCTATAAAGACATCTTCTGCCCACATCTGGTTTCTTACATTAATAGAAAGAAGACAAAATATTTCTGACCTAACTAAATGATCTTTAGTTTTTTTTTTAAAGTTAAAATCATGTGACATAGTCATCTCACTAGCATTGTGATAGATCATAGTAATCATATCACACTAACAATGAACTCAATCTTTATTTTGTGACGTGTCTATTTATGATGTAGTTCTTAATAATAAAAACTACCATATTAGAATTTAAAATTGATGAGTATATGTGTAAATACCTGACATTTTTTATACTGATCATCTTCACCGTAACTTCTGTGGCCCAAACTCTTTTGCCCTATATACATTAGAGTATTATTTAAGTAAATCTCCAAATATCAAAATTGTATATGGTAACCCACTTATGAGATCTTAAAAAAAATATTCAATTCTAAATCAGAAGCTAATATTAATAAAGAATATTGGTTACTTACTTATAGAGAAATGCGACAAAACAAATGAGGCATTTTTTTATTTTTATATTAATTACTGTCAAAGAGACAAAAATATTCAAGGTTTCAATTTTGCAACCAAATTACTTAAATCTGTCCGCACAGCTCTGTCTCATATTGGACATAATTTATATCATTCAAAATTTATACAATAATAATAAAATAAATAAAAAAAAAAAAAATAATAACACATATATAAAATTTTTTTGGTTATTTACAAAGCAGAGAAACAAAAGAAACCAAAATATGCATAAGTACATAAAGCAAAATAACTTACATATTTCAAATGCTCTGAAAGTAAAATATAATTTTTTAATACTATATTTAAAAAAAAGAAAAAGGAAGACTTATGACGACTCCTGACTTTTATAGAATGTGCTTCAGAGAAAAAAAAAAAAGGATTTTCCTAAAATTTTTAAGCCCACAGAAAAGATAATACGAGAGTAAGTTGAAAAATAAGATTCCCTGCCGACTGTGGTCATAGTTGTGTATGAAAGTCAAAAAATAGAATGACACATTAAAGATTTGACATACCTTTATTTTTCTACATAGGTACCAAGTACATTGAGACATTTGTCATATCGCTTGATAAGCTTCAAAAAGCCCTCCAGGAAAAAATCAGGGCTTTGCATATGGAAGAAGCATTGAACGGCTTGTTTCACTTCAGTATTGCTTCCAAAGCGCCTTCCCCCGAGAGATTTTTCTTCAAAGCCCGGAAACAGATGGAAGTGCTTGGTGCGAGATCAGGGACTGTATGGCGGATGTGGTGTAGACGCTCCCAACCAAGAGTTACAATATGGTTTTGCGTTGCTGTCGCCAAATGTGGTTGGCATTGTCATCCAACAGCAGAACGAACGCCGATGTGAGAACGGCCAGGCCGCTTTTTTTTTCGAATCGCCTCTTTCAATTTCGACAGGGTTTTTGTCACAGTAGTAGCGTGTAGCATTGATGGTTCCAACCTCAAAAAAAGTCCAGCAACAAAACTCCTTGGGCGTCCCAGAAACTGTGAGGAGCACTTTACGCAGAGGGAGTTGTCTTGAACTTCTTTCGGACAGGTGATGACAGATGTTTCCACTCCATAGATGCAGCCTTCGATTCTGGCGTGAAATGGTGGACCCACGTTTAATCCCCCGTCACAATCCGAAACAGAAAGTCATTGCCATCTTCATGGTAACGCACGAGATGTTCCAGGCTGACCCCCATGCGTTGTTCCTTGTGTGTCAAGGTCAGTTGTCGGGGCACCCATCGTGCTGACACTTTTCTGTATCGAAGAATGTCGTGGATGATATTTTGAGCTCGCTCGTGAGATTCCAAGTTCTTCCACTACTTCATCGATGGTGATGCGCCGGTTCGCTCTAATCATGTCATCCACCTTCCTGACATTTGCATCCGTAGTGGCCGTACGCGTCCGTCCAGCTTTCGGTACGTCCTCCACTTGCTGACGCCCATCACTGAATGTGCGACACCATCTCCGCACCATTTGCTTCAACATCACACCTGGCCCATAGACTTCCACGAGGCGGTTATGAATTTCTGTTCCTGATACTTCACGTGCCCATTCATAGCGGATAACCGCTCTCACTTCCTCCTTTGACCACGAATTCAAAACACACCTTCTCTCCATACCTAAACGGGGCTCAAATGAGAGGCTGGTCTCCGCTTTGCGCAGGCACTGCAACAGCGCCATCTGCTTGATTTGCAGCGGACCTCTACCAATGGTGTATCGGGTGACTTGCGCATTTTCCTGCTTGTCGCCTTTCGCCCATAGCCGTTCAACGCTTCTCCATATGGCAAAGCTGTAATTTTTCTTGGAGGACTTTTTGAAGCTTATCAAGCGATATGACAAATGTCTCAACGTACTCGTACGAGAATAATAAAATAAAGGTATGTCATATCTTTAATGTCTCATTCTATTTTTTGACTTTCATACAGAACTCTGACCACAGTCGACAGGGGAAACTTATTTTTCAACTTACCCTCGTAATTTTATACAATTAATTACAAACATAATTCCTTATATGTAATGTATCCTTTCTAAACAGTCAGTTATGCACCTCAATGGGAAGCAAAATTCGTGTACCTTTCATCTTTTGTTCTGACACATTTAGACCCCAATCAAAGGCTGAGTGGTTAAGACTGCAGAATACTGGTGATTTGACCTGGGTTTAAATCCAATTGAACGAGCTAACTGACGATTCACTTTTTTCCCACGATTTTCCTGGTTTTCTCTATATGTAATTTAAGCCAGTTTTTCATAGGAATACCTTTACAAAGGCAGCTGTCCTCAAAGGCTGATAGCCAATGTGTGCTTTGCCATATTCAAATAAACTTGCCTGAATGGAATCGAGTAAAAAATATGTTTTTGTACTGATGCATGGTACAGCACATGTACAAAAGAGGTGTTTTTGTACTTTTAATATACTTTTGAATCCCATAAATTAAATTATTAAAATAAAATTTTCTTGATGTCATTATGTATCTTGAACCATCATGTTGCCAAAAACTATTTATGTTGCAACCAGGTAAGTGCATAGCACATATGTGCTTGAGTACACATGGATTTGCATTTTAGAAATTCAATGGTAATTTAATAGTATTTCCTTTTGCATCAAGTATATTTGTTTTTGTTGCAAAGAATCATAATGGAGCTGTGGAGTTAGTTAATATTATGCTTGGTGATGATTACAGATTCAAGTTAAAAACACTAAGCAATGTTGACGAGGAAAATTTTAACAAAAATTTCTTTCCATATGTTAAAAATTTATTTTCTTAGTGATACTCATATGCCAAAAGATTACACTTAGTGCTATTTGAATTAATAATAACTGATTTGTCATTCATATAAACCCAGAACCAGCGCCAGGACTCATATGGCTGCAATGGGCGGCAGAATTTAGGGAACACAAGGGAGGTGCTTGGTAGCAGAATTTGGGATCCACAGAGACTGCACCAGGCGGTAAGATATCTAGCACCAGCCCTCAATAAGCCTTAAGTATATGTGGGACTTTATTTATTCACGACTCAGATAAGCCTTAAGCATGTGCAAGAAACAGACACAAGTATAATAAATAACTAAACTAATACAATTCAGGCTTTAATTGTCTCAGAGCACGATAGAAGCAAGATAACATTTAGTGGAAAAACTCATCTTTAGTTGCCAATGTCATGATACATAGCCAAATAAGTATAGTGATTGATAGCTAAATTTTATAATGATAGGCGAGAATTTTAAAGGTTTTCGGATATTGCAAACCAAAGGTGAAATTTTCCAATTAAAGGACTTTATAAAGAAATGTGGAGAGCGATAATAAATGAAGATGATATTTAAAAGAAGATTTTCATTGTGATGACAATGTTCCTTAATCACTAATTAATTAATGAATGGCAAAATCTGTAGTATGGTTCTAGATCAAGAAAATACTGCACCGATAGTGAAGAAAGTGAGAGAATTTACAGAAAATAAAAAAATTTCGATTGACAAGTTAGTCAGAATTCTCGACACAGCAATTACAGGACTTCAACAATGTAACTAAAAAAGAAATTATGTCTGTTTAGAAAATTAAAGTACCAGGTGCGTCATAAATTCATGCAAAGTTCAAAAATTCGTAATAAAAGAAGGAATGAACGGAAAAATTTTCTGTTTGTGCCAATATGGTCAGAAAGACCATGGATTTTTTTCCATGTAAAAAAAAAAAAAAAAGTTTCCAAAAGTAACCAACAGAGGGCGCTCACATGTCATACTAAGACATTTTATTCAAATCACGCAAACAGAAACAGATAATCAAACAGATCACAATAACATAACATTATGCATTTATTTTATAGTAATAGATGTTCAACATTACCACCACCACAAGGGGTAATAGGTAAGTGAGGAGTGTCACTACGCCCATTACAGCAGAGTGTAGCATGTTGCCATCGATGGCAGCAAAAGTCAATCGAATGGCATTTTTCAGTTCCACCAGTGTGGTTGGGAAGTCCCGGTGCACACGAGACTTTAAGTATCCCCACAACCAAAAATCTGCCAGGGTCAAGTCTGGTGATCTTGAGGGCCACTGAATCTTACAACCGCAACTTATCACTCAGTCTTCGGTGAAAGATTTTAACAAGAATGCCTTGATGTTGTGTGCAATGTGGGGTGGGGCACCATCCTGCATGAGGATGACAACAGGTAACACATGTCTTTCCTGCAATGCAGGCACAACATGGTCAAGCAAAAGCATAAGATACCATGCTGCAGTGACTGTACAGGTTGTCATGCTGGATACAGGACAGGGTTCTTCAAAAAAGAAAGAGCACAGAATAAAAGACGTGGTGAAACCACACCAAACATTCACATGAGGAGAATGCAGTGGCTGGCTCTGGTACTCACAAGGGTTTGCCGTTGCCCAAAATATGACTGTTCTGCGTATTGATATCACCATGCAATGAAAAGTGGGGCTCATCCATCCACATGACATTCAGCAACCATTGTGAATAATGTTCCATTTGTGCCAGCAACCATGTAGCAAACTTTTGTCTTGCAACTGTATCTGCCAGTAATAACTGGTGAAGTCGCTGGATTTTGTACGGATACAGGTCCAACATTCTGTGCAGAATATTACGTCAAATTGACACTTCTGGAAACCCTGTTCTCTCAGTTTCCCGAGCACTGCTACTCCCTATTGACGTCTCTGCTGCCATATCTTTCATGACACGCTGTACCACATGGACACGGTCTCCTCTCAAGGGTGGTCTGCCACTTTGTTGACTATAATCCAAACTCCTCCAGAATGTCATACGAAATTCCGTATCCCATTCAATGAAATAGGGCTTTTTCTCCATGCAAAACTTTTGCAATGTAACAGTTGTGAATTCACCATTCTTGTAGAATAAGTTAACCACCTACGCCCAATCTGGTAAAGAAAGTATGCTGCCGGCTTCGAATAACAGATCCGTTTCCAGCCAAGTGTTTTATTGATAGGCTGATTTGCATAAAACATCTCAGTATGCCAAATGGGCACCCTCTGTCAGTTACTTTTGTAAACAATCTTTTTTTTTTTTTTTTTTTTTTTTTTTTTACATGGGAAAAAATCCAATGTCTTTCAGACCATCTTGGCACAAACAGAAAATTTTTCCGTGCATTCCTTCTTTTATTACGAATATTTGAACTTTGCATGAATTTATGGCGCCCTGGTATTAGCACTAAAAACGAAGCAACTTAAACAACATTGAAAGAAATGTTTAATAAAGTTAACAATTAAATATTAAGCTTTTCTTAAAATTTTGAAGCATTTATGATTTTGATTATAAATGCATAGTTATTTCATAAATCATGATTTCATATTTTTAATTTTATAATTTCTACATGCCATCTTACCAGATTTAAACTGATGATCTAATATCCCCAAAAAATCCCAAATCCAGAATCGCGGAAGTTCCGACGAGTCTGAATCTCGGACTTTGTACTGTATATAAAATTGTTATTCTTTCCATGAAGCTTTATGTATGACTACAGATGACTATGTAGCTCTGTGTATTACTTTATGTATCAGGTCACATCTAGTTAGATTAAACATTACAGTACATTAGATCTATCAAACATTAGATCATATCTAGTTAGATTTTGATCTAATACTTATGTTGGTGCTAAATTGTGCCCTGTTAACAGAAAAGTACCAAAACATTCTATGCATTTCAAGGATGAATGGGGCCCACCAGCAGACAAGCGGTAAAGACGCTGAACACTGGTAGTTCGGTCCGAGGTTTGAATCCCGCAAACGGGCTGGCTGCATGGGCGTTTTGTGGTTTTCCCCATGTGTAACATGTATACGAGACAGTTTTCCTTAGAAAGTCCTCCACAAAGGCACCCACCCTTTAGGCAGATAGCCCTCGTGTGCTTTGCCATAATTAAATACTCCAATCAAGGATGAATGACAGAGGATTCTGCTCTTTTGAGAAGCATAAATATCCTGTGCCATAGGAACTTACAAAGTTTAAATAAAATATGCAAAGAATATTAAAGAAAAAGAAAGCAACAATTGTAGCTCCATTTGTCAAATAAAACAGAATATATTCTGATGCAAAATATATTCATATTTAATTAAATATTCTAAATTTTATGTTTCTTCGGCAATTTAATTTTGTAATTATCTTAAACTTTCTTATTGAGATAATCCTAAAAGAAAAGTTATTCTTTAATCTTCGGATTATGGTAACTTGGCAATTTTTTGGCAAAAATTTGGCGACCAACCCTGGCTACAGCAGCTTGCTAGTTTTTGTTTGGATGCCATTTTGTTTTCACAAAGAAAAGGCTTTTTTTTCCCCCCAACAATCTGCTAGCCGAATTACGCTTATGCTAGAACTTTTATGGAACAAAAGTGCTTAATCATGACGAAGATTAGGTGCGAAATTGGGAGAAAGTGCAGAATCGCAAACTGCTTGCCGCGTTTTAAGATTGCACATACACGGTATCCATGTACACGTTGACCTATTTCACTTTAAAAAAAATTCCAGAATGAACAAAATGGCATTGCGCACACTCCTGACTTTAGCCATGTATACTGCTAAAGTCCTAGCTAGTAACCTTTATCATCTTACCAAAATGTCGCCAAACTACCTGTTACCATATTCCAAAGATTAGTGAAGTTGGTATTTTAAAGACCTTTTAAATATGATTAAAATAAAATTAGTAGTTAATATACATATTATTATGTGAATCAACACATATTAATATAAAACAAAAGTAAACAGAAATATTTACAGCAGATTAACCGAATTCAGAAAAAATGATATTCAGTGAGAAAAATTATGCTGAAAATTATTCGGAGTGAGAGGATTTTGCACAATAAGCAGTTTCATTAATACAATAAATTTCATTCACTGCAATTTTTTATAGTCCCTAAAAAAGAATGGCTAATCTTTGGAATATGGTAACAGATAGTTTGGCGACATTTTGGTAAGGCGATAAAGGTTACTAGGTAGGACTTTAGCAATAATCTGAGAAGTACACAGTTCGAATTGCAGATTATTTTGTCTCAAGAAATGAGAGATCATCAGACATGTGTGATATTTTCTAGAAAATTCCGATCGTGATTTTAGCTAATAAGCACTTGGAAACAATTTTACTGCTAAAGTGCAGAATCACCCACTTATTTGTTTGGCGCTTTTTACAAGGGTAAGAAGAATTGGATTTTTGTCAATTTTCTTTGACTTATTAAGTATAAATAGGTCAATGTGTACATGGATAAAGTCAAGCGTTTGCGCAATGCCATTTTTGTGCAATTCTGGGATTTTTTTTAAAGTGAAGATAAGTCGACGTGTACATGGATACCGCATATGTGCAATTCTTAAAAACGCGAGAAGCAGTGGGCTATTCTGCACTTTCTCCCAATTTTGCACCTAATCTTCAGCATGATTAAGCACTTTTGTTCCATAAAAGTTCTAGCATAAGCGTAATTCGGCTAGCAGATTGTTGGAAAAAATGTTGAGCAAAAAAAAAAAAACATGCCTTTACTTCATGAAAACAAAATGGCGTCCACCAAAAAAAAACTAGCAGATTGCTGTAGCAGGGTTGGTCGCCAAAAAATTGCCAAGTTACCATAATCCAAAGATTCACCAAAAGAACTGTACTGATAAAAATTAAAAACCAAAAGATTTTATGCTTAGAAGATACTATGATAAAAGGAGATACTATGAAAAATTGAGAGTTTCACATTAAAACTGTAAGAGATGACAAATACATAAAAACTTCCAAAAATTCACACATTCTGAAAAAAAAAAAAAAAAAAAAAAAGAAAAGGGGGAGGAAGAGGTACTTTTGATATAAAAAAACAAAAATTTTCTGAATTACGTATACCTACTAATAATAAATGAGTTAATTTCTAAGAAAAGAGTTAGAACATTAAACTTAAATTTTCACCAAGATATGAATTAAAAAATTTAGTTCACATTTTGATGATCAAAATAGCAAAATCATATATCTTAAATATAAATGCAAAATTCTACTAACCATTATTACTATGAAATGCATCAGGTAAAATATTTTCAACTCCACTATTAGCCTCTTCCATTTCCCGCACAACAGGCATTAAACTTTCTTTACTGCTATCTGATGGTGGACTTTCAGATCTACGTACCCTGAAGGGACGAGAAAGCCATATATGCTTTAAAGGAGAAGCATTACGGTCATCGTTTTCTCCATTAGGTGGAGACAGAATTTCAATATCAGAAGATGTGGCAGTTTCATTTTCATCTCCTGACGTATTCTGCTCCGATTCATGCTTTGTGATATCAGATCTCTCAGATGTAGTTACAGATACAGGCGACTGGCCACGATGCATAATGTTATCATTACCCTCAACAGCAAATTTAACAAATGAACAAGATGATGTAGTATGAGAACTGCTGCTGCTTGAAGATTTGGCATCATATTCTTTAACTTCTGTAGTATCAGTATCATCAAAATCTTTGCTACTGTTACTACTACCATCACTATGTGAAATTTGCTCCTCGTTTGTAGTACTTTGTGGTACAGTAATAAATGATTTTCCCTTTTTAACCCAAATATCACTCTCAGGAAATGAATTTATTTCATCTGTGTTAAAAGAAGTATTTGAATTTTCAAGTTTACATGCTTCATGGAGATTTAAATCATCCTCACCTCTTGCATAAGAATTCTCTGCAAGAGCATACATATCTGATGATACGTGATCCCACTCCCAGTTGACATTAATATCAGCATTACAATGAGAGAAATCATTTCTTGAAGAAAAATTATTATTATCATATAGAAAATTCTGTGATGAAGTCATTATGTTAGATGCTGAGGACTGAATTGATTCAGAAGTAGGTTCTGCTGAATCAGAAAAATATTTATCTGAACTTCCTTCATGCTCACTGGTTTTCTCAGAAAAAATACATGATTCTTCAAGAAGAGATTTAGATGTTTCTGTACATTCATTTTTACAACTCTCAGAAAACAATTCATCTTCAGGAACTCTAATTAAATCACTAGCAACAGAACTATTCACAGTTTTACTGGTTTCAGAAGGTTGATTATCACAGACAAATTCATCACTTTCTTTTAGTTTATTATCAAATTTTTCAGACATTTCATTTCCATTCCCTACAGAACAAGGATAATTCGACTGGAAATCTGTAGTAACTAGTGATGACTGTTGTTCATTACTATTTTCTTTTATGTTACTATCTACTGCTTTTGTATCTCTTTCAATATTTGTAACTGAACTACTAGCTTCTTCATGTGCAGATAATGTTTCCCTTGATGTTTCAATATTTTCAAGTTCATGACTTACATTTGTAACAACTTGAGAATCACCTGGAAATAGACTAGCTCTAAGAGGTTGAGATAATACTGCTCCACCTTTCTTACTACTGCTATCTGTTAAGTCACAATCTTTGCTAGAAAGTTCTTTCTTGGAATCAAGTTTTAATGTATTCTGCCCTTTTAGTTCAAAAAATGATCCCCAAGTGTCAGTCCAAAAATCCAATCCCTCAACTGGAAAAGTATCCAACTGGGATTCGTGTTCACAGACAGCATCTTTGTCTTCAGTTGACTTTGCAGCAGAAAAAGTATGACTGCTGATGAATTCTTTGGAAGGACCAACCGCATCTAAAACATATAATACTAAGTTACACACATAGAACTTCACTAAAATTCATTACATACTGAATATTACAGTACATTACGGCTAATCTTTGGAATATGGTAACAGGTAGTTTGGCAACATTTTGGTAGGTAATAAAGGTTACTACCTAGGACTTTGGGAATAATGTGAGAAGTACTCAGTTCCGATTACGCATTATTTTGTGTGAGGGAAATGAGAGATCATGAGATATGTCATGTGACATTAATGGATGAATTACAGTTCTTTATCGGAAAAAAGGGGGAAATCTGGAAAAAAATTCTGCAGTACTTTATAGCATTTGTATTTAGCTTCATTCTGTGTTGTGTGAAACGGGTTGGTAAATTTTTGGATCCATGGCCCTATCTAAGTGAATTGGAAATGGGTATTTAGTGGGATTGAAAGGGGTAGTAATAAGTGTTTTTTTACGGTTATGCGAGATAGAAGTAAAGATTGCATATTAAGTTTTATTAAGCAGTATATTCTACCTGGTACAATAATAATATCCGATTGCTGGAAATCATATGTCTGTTTGGAGGATGAAGGTTTTCAACATCTTGCTGTGAACCATAAGTATGATTTTAAAGATCCTGAAACAAGCGCACATACCAGTATAATAGAAGGCACGTGGAGTGCTATAAAAAGCGCCATTCTGAAGCATTATGATAAAGAGAATTTTGCTTTTTATTTAGCGGAGGAAATAAGAAAAGTTTATCCGCCACGTAATCAAGATTCTGAAGAAGATTAGGTAAGTTAGTATTTTTAATTATTTGAGGATATTATTTTTATGCATTGTTCTAAATGTAAGGAGTAAATAAATTAATATGGTATTATTGGAAAATTTTATTAGCAATGATTTAGTTTAAAGTAATTAGGATTGTAAGTAATTTTTATTAATTAATGTATGTGCTTATTTATATTTTAAGTAGTGTTTTTTTTAATTTAATTATGTTTTAATTAAATGATAGTTATTTTGTGAATTATATGTTTGTAGAGGCAATTTGGTACACGTTTCAGTGGAAAGTAAACGTGCATGGAAATAATTTAAATATTTGACACTAAGTATTTGCAACCATTTTTAATGTTTGCATTATAAATTCGTTGGTGACGTTTATAACAGATAATTTAAAGGTAAAAGTTTTTGGATATTTTATTTATATTATACGTGGAAATGTTCATTCTTGGAAAGGGTATATACTTTTTCGCGATCAGGTAATTTCATATATGTGCTTTTTACCGAGTTTAAAGATTCACAAAATTTTCCTGCATTTTCGTGCAAATGTTTGTAATTTATGAGAAAATAGCAGTGTAGATGGATAAAGTCAAGAGTGTGCGCAATGCCATTTTTGTGCAATTCTGGGATGTTTTTTTAAGTAAAAATAAGTCGCCGTGTACATGGTTACTGTGTATGTGCGATTCTGAAAAACGCGGCAAGGAGTCTGCACTTTTTCCCAATTTTGCAGTTAATATTTGTCATGATTAAGCAGTTTTGTTCCATAAAATTTCTAGCATAAGTGTAATTCGGCTAGCAGATTGTTGGAAAAAGTGTTGAGTAAAATAAAAAGAAAAGAAACATGTCTTTATTTCGTGAAGACAAAATGGCGGCGAAAAAAAAATAGAGGGTTGCTGTAGCAGAGTTTGTCGCCAAATTTTCACTAAAAAATCGCCAAGTTACCATAATCCAAAGATTAACCTACATTACTGTACCAAATGAAAGTAAAACACAATTTATAAATAAATAAACTGTAATTAACAAGAAAAATATTTAATTTTTCAAACTTCCACATTCTGAAACCATGCTTAACATACACACTACTAACAACAATTAAATAACTTAAATACTTATTTAATTAAATTATGTGTTAAAGATAATAAAACAAAATATATAATTTTAAGAATCTTATATGTGTCGGTAGTTTTAGCAATCTTTCTATAACATTTGGCTTACAATATCAAACTTTTATCTAAAACCAATGGTTGTAATTTCACTGACCAAACTTTTCAAAAACTGAGGTTAATAAATGCCACTATTTCATTAATTTAAGACTAGTGGGGCTGCCATTTGAAAAAATTTAACTAAAAATACAACAGTGCAACTAAATTAAAATGTTAAAAGTTATTCTAAGATGCATTATGAAAATATATTGTTACAAAACGTAAAGGCGCGGTACGATGGCTTCCCCGCAAAGCAGTATTAGGGTTGCCATAAAATGGCAAAGGAGGGCAGGGTTGCCATATTTGGCGATATACCATGGACAGTTGGAGAATCTTCTGGAACGAATTCTTACTGGTTTAGCCCAGAATGTTCCCGAACACAATCCGAAAGCTATATAAACCCTGCTGGTCTGCAGTCATTTAGTGTGTCTTTCATCGAGTGTGTGTGTGTGTGCCTCGTCTAGCGAGCTGATAGTCAGTCACTAAGTGAGTGTCTCAAAGTCTAACGCCGAGGTAGTCGTCGAGTGCATCGAGAGAGTCTTTTAGTGCATCGTTAAGTTTCGTCATAGATTGTGCTGAGTCGAGAGCTATACTCTTCTGTATCGTCGAGTGCATCATGTGGAGAGCCTCGAGAGTACGTGGAGTTCTGAGAGCAACCAAGCAGAGTTGGAACTGTACTTTGGTGCTTTGCGGTGAAGCTGTCTCCACCGTTATTGCCTGACAGTGTAAAGGCTGTGTCGCTGTTTGTTCCAGCGCATTTATAGTAGACCTTCGACGACTGTAAAAAGTGATTTTGGAGCTGTCCTGAGACTATTGGTAAATAAAGTGTGTTTTGATACTTCATCAAGTGTCATCGTTATTCACTCAAAATCTACAAACCCCGTACGAACGTGAAGGAAGAAAATAACGTAACAACTGGTGTCAGAAGAATAGAAAAGAGAAAAACGTAACATTTGGTGTCAGAAGTATGATTTGAGGGTGAATGCCATGACAAGAGCGATGGAAGAACAATTAAAACAGCTCATGACTGCCTTTGCTGCATTCCAAGAAAAGATGGAAGCTGGACAGAAAAAGATGGAAGCCGGACAGGAAGAGATGAAAGCTGAAATGAAAGAGATGAAAGCTGAAATGAAAAAGATGAAAGAGATGAAAGCCGGACAGGAAGAGATGAAAGCTGAAGTGAAAGAGATGAAAGCCAGACAGGAAGAGATGAAAGTCGAACAGGAGGAGATAAAGGCTGAGATCAAGAGCGAAATAAAAGCCATATTCAAGAAAAGATGGAAGAGAAATTCGAACAGATGGAAGTGGAACAAGAAAAGATTAAAAGTGAGATCGTGGAGCTTAGAGAGGATACTGGAGCGAAAATAGCAGCTGTGAAAGAATGATTTGAAGAAAAATTGAGAGAATTCCGAAAAGTAGATATTTCGAAAGAAAACCGGACTGGGCCCAAGAATGAAGAAGATTTCAATGTTCCCCCAATGTACTCTCATACGGTAATCAAACCTAGCACATACAATGGAAAATCATCATGGAGTGTATATAAAACCCAGTTTTCCATCGTGGCCGAAAATAACAAGTTGGGGCTCCCAAAAGAAGGCTTCGCAGTTGGCTGCTTCACTCTGAGGAGATGCTGCAGACATCTTAGGGGTCCTCTCCGAAGACCATATTTTGAATGTCCTCTCGAATGCACTGGAAATAAGATTCGGGGAAAAGTGCGCAAAGGACTGTAGCCGTCTGCAGTTGAAATCTCGCCAGCAGAAAATCACGGAAAGCCTTCAGGAACCGGCGACTGACATCGAGAGGTTGGCGCATCAAGCATATCCGGACTGTCCACCTGATGTCCAAGAAATTCTGGCTTTGATGCATTTCATCGATGCCGTTAAGGATGCGGAAATTCAGAAAGCTCTCAGACTGGCGGATCTGAAAGACCTGAAATCTGCCTTGGTTTACTCTATGAAGTTCGAGTCGGCTCAACAAGCGACTCGAAGAGATCGCCATCCTATTAGAGAGGCTCAAATAGAAGATCCAAATTTTGATATTTCAAAACTAAAAAATGAAATAAGAGAAATTCAGGAGGCATTAAGAAGACCTAATAAACACAATACTGGGAAGAAAATTGTCAAGTGCTGGAACTGTGGGTTGGAAGGACATCTCAGCAGGAACTGTCATGTGAATCAAGACTGGAAGAGAGCTCCCGTGAAACAAAACGAGGGAAACTAAAATGTGGCAATCTCACGGGGTGGAGGTTACCAGGCAAAGATGCAGCCCCTCTGAAAGTTCTTCAAATCTCTTCAATGAGCGGCGGAGATAATGGACTGTTCGTCGAAGGATACATGAATAAGCATCTTTGTAAAATGATCATAAATATGGGAGCAAATGTAACCATCGTAAGAACAGATGTAGCTTGAGAATTGAGCTGAAACGTTGCGCTGGACTCCGCCCTGTGTGACTTTGCAAACAGTGACAGGTGATAAGATTCCAATTGAAGGTAAAATTAACATCATCATTACCTTCGGAAATGAGACCTATCAGCACTTAGCTTTTGTCACTAACATCGCCGACAAATTAATACTCGGATTGGACTTTTTGCGGAAGTACGACTTTACGTTGGACTTTAAACGTAACAAAATGCGCTCTGCAAAAGAAGATATAACTGTGTTTGAAATGAAGAGCGACATTCCCTCAGCTCACCAAGTAACAACAAAAACAGATGTCACCATTCCTCCGATGACAGAATTATTAATAGCCGGATCCATAGAAAAAAAATAGCTTCAGATTTGGACTAATTGAAGACCCTGAAAAATAGCTTAAGAGAGGTATTAAGTGGCCTCCTCATTAGTAGCCCTTTCGAAAGATTTCATCCCTCTAAGAGTGGCGAATGTTAGCCACAGACCGAGAAACATCCAAAGGGGTGAAGTGCGTCAGCATGCACTCAAGTTACTTGTGTTTATAAAGCCCCACTTGAAATTCCGACTGAGGCAACTAGGAAATTAATGGAATAACTTCTGCAGAGTGCAAATTTAATCTATGAACAAAGACATGCGGCAGAGAAAACAATTAAAAAATTTGAAGATCTATTTTCTAGGTCATCCGGAGATGTTGGCCGCACAAAACTGACGCAACATCGAATTGATACGGGGGATCACTCTCCGATAAAACAACATCCCAGACGTTTACCATTCACAAAACAGGAAGAGGTTGGAAATCTTCTGAAGGAGATGCAAGAAAATGATATCATCGAACCATCCACAAGTCCATGGGCATCTCCTATAGTTCTCGTCCGGAAGAAAGATGGCTCGACAAAATTTGGTGTCGGAGACTAAATAATGTCACTAAGAAAGACAGTTACCCTCTTCCCAGGATTGATCAAGGATTGACCTCAAGAATGGATACTGGCAAGTGGAAATTCATCCCGGCGATAGAGAGAAAACTGCGTTCGCTACCGGTCAAGGACTCTGGCAGTTTAAAGTTATGCCTTTCGGACTCTGTAATGCGCCTGCAACATTTGAACGCCTAATGGAGACAGTGCTTCATGGTCTATCTTACGAATCCTGTCTGGTCTACCTAGATGACATCATTATAGTGGGCTGTACTTTCGACGAACATCTAGAAAATATCAGGTAAGTGTTCCAGAAATTGAGAGATGCCAACCTTAAAATTAAGTCCTTCGAAATGCAAATTGTTCCGCAGAGAAGTTACCTATCTCTGGCACGTCATCTCTGCCGAAGGTGTCCGCACAGATCCAGAAAAGGTGTCGGCAGTTAAGGACTGGGAACGTCCTGTGGATATTCATCAACTACGGAGCTTCCTGGAACTCTGTACTTATTACAGAAGATTCGTGAAGGGGTTCTCCAGCATCGCAAGGCCTCTGCATAAATTAACAGAAAGTAAACGAAAATTCGTGTGGACCCTTGGAGTGCGAGAAGTCCTTTAATCAGTTGAAGACGGCATTAACAACATTCTACGCCCGTGCTCCCATATCCCCAGACAGACAAAGAATTTATATTGGACACAGATGCAAGCAACGAAAGTGTGGGAACTGTCCTTTCTCAAATGATTAATGATCAAGAGCGAGTAATAGCCTATTGGAGTAAATGCTTGTCCAAACCGGAAAGGAATTATTGCTTCACCCGTAAAGAATTGCTAGCTATCGTAACGGCCATAGAACATTTCCATCATTATCTCTATGGCAGAAAATTCTTATTGCGGACTGACCATGCTTCTCTAACTTGGCTACTGAATTTCAAAAATCCTGAAGGACAAATAGCCAGATGGATTCAAAAACTACAGGAATATGACTTTGAGATAAAACATCATAAAGGCTCCTCCCATGGAAATGTGGATGCTTTATCCAGGAAACTTTGTCCTGCACACTGCAGCCATTGTTCAAGAGCTGAGGCTAAGTGTGGGTTGGAGAATCTGAGTATCCGGCAAGTAACATCTTCAACATCAACTGATCCAGATCCGTGGAGTGATGAAAAAGTTAGAGAAGACCAATCAGCGGATACTGACATTAGGCCAATAATAGAACTGAAGGAATCATCCAGTACAAAACCCAAGTGGCAGGACATTTCCATTTTCAGTCCTGCAACTAAAAGGTACTGGGCTCTCTGGGATTCACTCCACTTCCGAAATGGAGTCTTATATCGATTATGGGAAAGTGATGATGGAACTAATAAGAGATGGCAGCTGCTGCTTCCTCGAAATCAAATACCTGATGTTCTGAAGGAAATACACAGCAGCTCAACAGGAGGGCATTTCGGCTGTATGAAGACACTAAACAAGGTCTGAGAGCGCTTCTTCTGGAGTTCGGTGAGAAACGATGTTGAGAAGTGGTGCCGATCTTGTGATGCCTGCGTAGCCAGGATAGGACCAAAGAGACATAGCCGAGGAAGGCTGCAGCGATACCATGTAGGAGCGCCTTTCGAGCGAATTTCCCTCCACATACTTGGACCTTTTCCTCGGACCACAGATGGCAACAAATACATCCTTGTTGTCATGGATTACTTTATGAAGTGGCCCGAAGCTTAGCCAGTTCCAGATCAAGAGGCTGTCACGACAGCTGAAGTTCTGTTACAGAATTGGGTGTCAAGATTTGGGACCTCCCTCCAGATTCATTCCGACCAAGGCAGGAACTTCACTTCGGCTGTGTTCAAGGGACTCTGCGACTTGCTGGAAATCAAGAAAATGCAGACAACCCCATGCCCTGATGGCATGGTGGAGAGGTTTAACCGTACAATCCTGAACCACCTCTCACTCATGGTTTCCCAAAACCAAGAAGACTGGGATTGCAAGCTACCCCTGTTCCCGCTTGCTTACCGTAGTGCCGTCCACGAAAGCACCGGCTATTCTCCATCACAGATGCTCTTCAGTCGCGATCTCCGTCTGCCAAGCGACCTGCTCTTCAGCCGCCCTCCGGATGTACATTCCTTGCCTGAGGAGTACGTGCAAAGACCTCCAGGCCCGGTTTGGATACAGTACACAGGTTTGCTCGAGAGCGGATCAACATCTCGATGGATAGAATGAAGAAGAGCTACGACGCAAGAGCCACCGAAGCATCAATTCGGACAGGAAAACGACAAGGTTTGGGCTCTGGAATCCAAGGCGTTTCTTCCAAACTGCAGTCACATTGGGAGGGACCCTATACAGTCCTCAACAGATTGAACGACGTTGTGATACGGATCCATAAATCCCCCAATTCAAAACCCAAGGTAGTTCATTATGGCAGATTAGCCTCATACTATAAATGACAAAACGGAAATGCAAAAAAATACATTTCCGTTTTAATTTCTTATTGCCAACACAGATCATCATGTTTTGACATCTGGCATACAAGGCAAATAAAGTGAGAAAGAGATTCATCTCATGATCTTAAATCCTCTTACTAGCATAAATGATGATGAGATGAGGAAAAAGAAAAATTTCATAATAAAATAACATTCATGCGCAAAAAAACTTATAGAAAATAAATGACAAAGAACACCATGCAATTAGTAAACTCTGGGATATAGTTAATTAATTAACTATCGATAAATTATGGAATTTATTAAGAAGAAATATTCTGCAAAACTTTGGCTATTACAGAACTGAGATGTTTATTTCGTATAGCATGGGGCCATAGTACTTAGTGTTTCTCATTCCGTAGGGTACATACTTGCGAAGCACGTAATAAATAAATGTGGTAGTTCAGGTCTTTTACATTTATTTCACTATATGTAATTTTTTTTTTTTTTGGTACTTAATTTTTATAATGCTTTGCAATCCTGGGTACCCATAACTCTTGTGCACGAGTTTTTTTTTTTTAACCTAATTTCTGTACATAACTTGTATATAGTGTAAAAATTTGCTTCTTTAGTTATATTATTTGTTTGATTTAGAACCTTTTGTTTGTATCGAATTATGCTTCTGACCAAGGGTTGT